CTATAGTAATGATTTCCTTTGTTTATAAAGTAAATATAGTAGGTATTTAATCTAATTAATAGCGCTATAACTCTCTCTTAATAAGTAGGTAACTTGATCTAACTATTAAGTTATGTTAACTCTATAACACTACTTACCTTCTGTTCTCTAACTTCTCTAACCCTAATCTAATATAACTATTATAGCGTCTAAGTCTATAAGACTTAAGTTATTAAGCCTATAGAATACTTTAGAACACTTTTTACTAATAGAAGATAGAGCTTATCTAACAAGACTTTACGGCATTAAACGCTAGCCTTACTTACTCTACTCTTACGGCTTTAAACGCTAGTACTATACGCTCTACCTCTTAAGGTTCTTAAGCGGCTCTTAGGCTCGACTTAGAGACAGCCTACTAGAACGCTATTATAAGAGTAATTAAGTCTAAATCTAATTAAGCGTAAAGCGTTATTTTATATAAATCTTACTATCTAGTAAACTAACCTAAGAAGTATAAGTTCTCTTTTTAGGTTAGAGAAACTAAAGAGCCTTTCTTATAGATTACTCTAGTTTACGTATCTAGAGCCTTTAGAGAAGTAATAGATAGCTTTAACCTTAATAATAAAACGTATTAAGGAATAGCCTACTAGGTCTATATCTAGAAGAGTAGTATAGGTACCTTGTCTATAGATCTAATAGACTTAAAGTTTAAACGCCTTTAGGCGTACTATATTATAGACAAACACTTTATAAAGTAACTATTTAAAGAGTTTAACCTAGAGATCGACTAGGACTATACTATATAGAGGATATAGACATACTTTAAGACGTACTTTACTTAGTAGAATACCTAAGAGTAAGAGCCTACTACTACCTTAGTTTATAAGAATGTAGTATAGTAACTCTTTAATACGCTACTACTAATAAGACAAAAAGCCCTAAAAGTAGGTAGTAGTAGCTCGACAAAGTAATAATAGGCTATAAAGTAGGACAGTACTTTATTAAGACCTATAAGACACTAAGTATTAGAAGACAAACCTTTATAATCTATAAAAGTAGACAAACAAAGTAACGTTAGTATAGTTAAAGTAGAGGACATATAGGCTCTACTATAATCAGAACCTGCCTATATAGTAAAGAAAAGAGATAGAAAAGAGTTTAAGGTATTTAATTAGAAGACTAGAACGTTTGTCTTACGTAATACTAATTAAGTAACTAGTAGAGACGTAGAGTTTCTAAGAATAAGTAATAACAACATCCTAGCCCTAGTATTAGAACTTCTAGACCTAAGAGAGTTATAGTTCCTTTATATTATCTTTTAAGATTAGAACACGTAAGCCGTACTAGTAGTATAGCTATTAAAAGTAAAGTATAGAGCTAAGAATTCTAACATTCTATTTAGTATACTTTACTAGAACATTTTTAACTAGAACAAGAGACGTTAAATAAAAATATAAGGTAAGATAGCTTAGGAACTTAGTCTAGTTATACTAAAGACAAGAAAATAAGGTAAGCCTATCTTCTTAAAAATTTACTTAGGCTGTTTTGCCTCTAATTAAGTATTTGTTAACTAAAAGTAAGTATTTATAAATATAGACGATATGTTAGTCTTAGGTCTCTAGACTTTTAATTAATTTGTTATAGTAGCTTTATTAAACTATAATAAAAAAGAAGTAGCGGCTTATTTAAAATATAACCTTAAGATATTAGTCTAGTTAGCTAGAACTAGGTTAATATCCTAGTATTCCTTATAAGGACGTACTAAGTAGAATAAATACACTAAGTACTACATCTTCTTAAAAGAAGAGATCTTTAAACTACTATAAGTAGTCTAAACTATAACCTAAGTGTTTAGCTAAGGGTTAGTATATAAGTAGCTAGTAGTAGTAAGTATAGCCGTTTATACTCTAAGCCTATACTTATAAGGCGTAGACCTAGACAAGACTCCTTACTAGCTAGTACGCCGCTCTAACTACTACTATTAATATAACGTTAAAGTAGAGGTTAAGGAGTAGACAAAGGACAAGAAACTACTAATAGTCGTAGAGGATAGAAAGATAATAGTAGAAGAGTAGGCTAAAGAGGATATTATTATAAAAGGATAAAGGCTATAGTACGACACTATTAAGGACGACAGCTATAAAGAGAGGGCGAGTATTAAGGGGTGTACCTAAGAGATGCCTAGGGCACCTATTACTAAGCGCTTACTAAAGCAAGCTAACCTGTATATAGCTCTTGTCTATAGCCTTCCTTTAATCCTTAAGAATAAGTAAACCTTTAAACCTAATACCTCTTTAGACAGTCTAAGTCTGTTATAGTAAGTCTTCTTATGTATTTAAAGTTTAGCTACTAGATACTCTTTACGTGTTTACTAGTATAGATAAGGTCTTTAGATTATAAGAAGAGCCTTTCTTAGTATAGTATAGTATTAAAAGGGCTCTATAAGAGCCTTCTTATTACCTTGTCTAAATAAGAGTTTCTCTTCTTAACACTACTACCTTAACTACCTTAAAGGTATCTAAGACCTTACTACTTACTATATAGGCCCTTAACTTAAGCTTTAAATAATTAATAAGAAGGTAGATATAAAACATCTCTAAGAGAGTATAGCTAAGTTTAATAACTAAAGAGTTATACTATTAAAGGAAATTCTTAAAGGTCTTGTTTTAGTTTTAAGTTAATATTTAGAGTTTTAATACTACTTTAAGAGAGTAAGTACTCTTATTTATAATACTATAAAGAAGCTATACCTTTATTTCTTTCTAAGTTATATTAAGAACTATTCTATCTTTTTTTAAAAAGATAAAAGACTTTTAGTACTCTTTAATATAATCCTTTAGTACTACTACTATAGTACTAATGCGTTTAGTATCTATTAGATAACTCTTTAGATAAGTATTAAACTTTGTTTCTTAGTTAAATAAAAAGGTTATAATACTAGTATATATCTTATTTTTTAGTAAAATAAAAAGAGTATTATAATAGCTCTTTTTTATTTCTTTAATATAAGTTTACTAAAAAGGCTATTCTACTTTAAGAGAGTTATTAAATTTATATAGGTTTATTAAGAGAGCCTCTCTCTTCTTAAGTACTATAAGGTAGTCTTACTTTTACTTAAGGTACTACTTTACCCTTACTTAAGTAATCCTCTTATTTAACTTAGTCTTACTTAAGAAAAGGATTTTTATTAATATTTAGAGAGTTATACTAGGTTCGTTATTATCTACTTATAAAGAGGTATTCTAAAGAGTTACTTAAGAAGAGGCCTACGTCTTATTAAGGTTTATTTATTATATTTACGTTATTACTTCTTACTCTAATAGTCTATAACCTTAGTCTATAACCTTTTAGTAAAGAAAAGAGATTAGAATGTTAGGTATATTTTTATAAAGTAAAAGAGATAAGAGTTAATAGATAGTCGTAGTGTATTTAAAGGTATATTACTACTTTAACTATAGACTAATCTCTAAACCCCTTTTCTTTTCTCTTTTTCTTCTTTATTCTTATACTTCTTAATGCCTATTATTACCTTAGTTATAGTACGTAGTTACCTTATACTTGATTTCTAAGCTATTATAGTCTTACGTGTTAGTATACCTAACAAAAAGATCGTCTAAACCTATAGTAATTAGTTACTAAAAAACAGTATAGGCTAATTAGAGCCCTTATATAATACATAAGGCCTATAGCTATAAGTACTAGGTAGTATATAGGCTAATAGAAGGCGTTATATAAAGGTAATTACTCGCTTAGTAAGGACTAATTAGCGCTAAGGTACGCCTAGAAAAAGAGAGAGAAAAGGGTAATGTAATAGGTTAGAACCTAGTATAAGGTTAGTACTATAACACGTAACCTAAGTACGCGACTAGTAGATTATTGTTACACTATCTTAACTATAGAGTTTTCCCCTATCCCTTATATTGTACGACGCTCCTTTCTTTTCCTCTTCTCTTTAGAGTATTCTTCTTGTAGAATAGATTAACATTTACTCAAGCATTGTGTTGTCAACCCGTGACACTGTATACAGTTATGCAAGTAATAGGTATAGGTATTACAAGTAGATTTAGTTACTAGTCAAGTAGATTTAGTCTATCCCTATCTGTTTGATCCCTTCCGCGATCCCGCGGGTACTGTCTGCTAGTACAATAACATCATGCTCGGCTTCCTATTCTACTATCTCTTCCTAGAAGTCATAATGATTATGTGGGTTGCCCTCATCATCCGCGTCGCTATGCGCGTGTTCAAGGGAGAAGCGCTAAGGATCCCAGAAGCGATGTAGAGGGGGGGAAAGAAGAGTCCGAGGATTGAGTGTAAGAAGCAAATTGATTAATAAATGGCGTTTTAGAAGAATTAACCTTGGACAGCTCGGGAGGGAGTCTGTTCGCCCTGTCATGCATAAACGGCCTGTGCAATCACACCAGTCAGGAGCATCTATAGGCTTCAAAGGGACACTGATGAGAAGAGTTCTGGCGTGGGCGTGTATTTTAATGGCGTAACTCTATGTGAATATGGTAGGGAATCGCGCATACGGAAATGAGACCGTATTGACTCAAATGATTCTGCCTAGACATCTAAACAGGATACAGAATGTCGCAAGTATAATAGTATTGTATTTTAACGCTTTCGCAATTGATACAATAGATCCTGCATTTGCCACAGGTACAGATTCTGATACATGAGTATTGTCCCATATTAGCAGAGGTGCCTTTAAGTCTTGCTTCAGTGATGTTGGCATCTGACTTGCCAGAAAGCATGTATAGTTCGAATTTAGTTCGAGCTTAGGCTGCCCCATGTCTCTGTAGTTCTAGTCTGGCCGGTCACAATCATCTCACCAGCCTGTTTAAAGAGCGGTTGGAGGGAGGGTATACAGGCCTCGGGATGGTCGAAGGTTTCAACTCATCGAATTGGGACATGTAGCTCTCAACCTTCCCACCTCGCGAATTTGCACGCGTTGAGGTATAGCAGAGGTAATTCCACCGGCCTTAAAGCAATTGACTTTATACTGGACATATAATTTGACTTCAGAACCGTTCTTTCATTCTCGATGCTACCGTTCGCAAGTTGCCATAGACTTTCCCTGGAGGACTGCCAAGAATCAAACTCACAATAGCCTCTCTGGCAATATGGATGTTCTTGAAACCACCCAGGATGTGAATCTTGGAATCAGCTAGCACCACTCTTGTCCTGCTGGCATTCTCAATAGCGAACTTTGTCTTCCCATCTTTGCCGGCTATTCGGCCGATCGCACGACCAAGGTGCTCACCCTGAAGCGTCTTGACGTCCTTTATCTCGAAAGTCTCAATGTAAAGGTCATCTAACCGTAGTAATGCTATAGCATCGTCGACATCAAACCCTAGAGAAAACTATGAAGATTTCGGAGTCAGAATTTTCAAGATCGCAATGTACGACGTGCAGAAGTCTCGAAACTTACGGCCTTGACAAAATCCTCACCCTTCTGCAATGCTCCTGTATCGGTGGTATATTTCGAGGTCCTTAATTCTACGGTTCTGTTCTTCATACGGACTTGTAGCTGTAGGTGTTCGACGAGAGGAGGGTAGATTTTGGGCCACGAGGCTTTCAGGGGGGTCATGCGGTGGGGAGGGATAGGAACTTTTCGAGTTTCCACTCTCGTTGGGGCATCCTATGCACGATTAGAAACTGCCTTGGAAGGCCCGAGCTGCACATCCACATACAGTATGCTTTGCTGGTGCAAATCTTGGCCGTCCTTCCTCATCGATGTGCATTTCAGTATCTACATCTTGGGTGGCGCTCGGAATAGCATTTGCGTCTGGCAGAATATTGCTCGGGGCATCAAGCAGAAAATCGTCTTCCTGGCCTGTTCCACATTTAGATCACTATCGTCGACATCTGAGATCCGCAGACTTACTGTTGCCCGGTAAAGGCACATTTACGGGCTCAGCCCGCTTCTCAGGCTGCCCGATTAATGCTGTGGGCGCCGGCATCTCGATTGTATTTCAATCGCACACAAAGGATTCGACCGAGGAGACTGGTTACCTGTTGGCGGGGGGTTCTTGGTGTCCTGGGTTTGGAGGAGTGTCCGTCTATCTTATCCAAGAATGCGAGAAATGATTTTTACATGTGGGGAGCGACAATCAATCAGGCGGTGAATTATCTAGATACCTGAGATACCTGAGGCCGTCAGATTTTCCTTATCGATAAGATTTAAGATTTTCTTGGTCGGTCGAGACTCGATGGAGAAAAAAAAGCAGAAACGCCCCAAACCAGAGCAAGCCGAGAAAGCTCTCGTCCCGTCATTAAACCTCCACCACCTCTCTGTTCGCCCACATCTACGTCCACCCCCGCACCGCCAGAAGTAATGGGACCTGCAGCTTCAACAGCCTGCCATCCTTCTTTCTCATCATGATCGTGAGTCGGAGATTATGTCTTCACACCTAAGGCACCGGATATGGTCCCGATGGGATCCTGCAAACCAGCTTCTCCCCCCTTCCAGGACCCCATGGCCTAGTCCAACTCATCCGCAGACATCGCGGCACGTCTTCTTACACACCAGACCAGGACTACCGTTCCGTGCGGCGTTAAGGATACCGACCAACAGAACCTTTTCTTCCTGTGGCGCGCCCATCTATCGAGTCAACTTTTGTAACGGGGCGGCCTCAATATCAACAGCCTCAATAGCGGCATCGCATGCGACCAGCGTGGGAAAGACTCTATATACAGGCCCGCCGGTGTCAGTGTCACGGCAATCGATTTCGTTCTTAGCCCAGCAAGTATGGCGGAGAGGTATATACTCGGGCGGTCGACGCCGAGAAAGAGGCAGTGGAAGGCGAAATAAGAGCTCGGCATCCAGTAGCCGGAAAGGTCAAAAGCCCGTTGAAGACGACAAGCATGCTTCACCAGCACCACCTCCACCCGACAAAGTCGAGCCCCATTTGCCCGATTCCTCGCCGCCTGGCAAATATCTCAATCTTCCGCAAATGCCCAAAATGCCCCAGATGCCCCAGATGCCACATAGGCCAACAAAGGAGGAGCTACTCCAGGCTGCAACGGGATTTTGGTCTCGCCTGAAAGTCCGTTTCAAATGGTTCTCTATCAGGAGTGTACGACCTTGGAACGTTGATGATTGGAGCGCCTTCGTGTCCTGGTTTGTCCTTGGGAATATAGTATGGATCTTAGTTGGAACCACGACCTTTTTCTCACTTGTCATCCTTTCTATCAATACTGTTGTTGCCCAAGGTATGTTAATTATATTATAAGTTGCGTAATATAGATATTGACCGTCATTCCAGAAACGTTGGCGAGATGGGTAGGCGATTACTTAACGCATTCAGCTGGAATCAAGGTTGTATTCGAGTCTGCGATCGTTCCGAAATGGGGAGATGGGGTAATAACGTTCCATAATGTCTTCGTGTCGAGGAGACCAGGGCAGGGAAAGACCAAGGTCAGCAAGGGGTCTTCCATGAGCGCCGCAGCAGCGGCCGCTGCTGAAAGACAGGCGGAACTTGAAGGGACCCGAGAAGAGGAGGAAGAAGAGGAAGATACGAACTACACTCAATTTGACCTGACGATTGATACTGTGAACGTCACACTATCTTTCGTTAAATGGTGGAATGGCAAAGGGCTCCTCCGAGACGTCGAAGTCAAGGGAGTTCGGGGAGTTGTCGACAGAACTTCAGTACATTGGGATGATGAATACGTCGACCCCAAAACTTTCCGCCATGAGCATAACCCTGGGGATTTTGAAATCGATTCCTTTAAGATGGAGGACCTTCTGGTCACTATACACCAGCCGAACGGATTCCGACCTTTCTCAGTCAGCATCTTCTCCTGTGAGCTACCTCAACTACGCAAGCAGTGGCTGTTTTACGATTTCCTCTCTGCAAATAACATGTCCGGGGCCTTTGACGGATCGCTATTCACGATTCACCCACGTCAAATCCATGGGTTTGCGGGATCTCAAGCATCCCACATTAACTCTGGGACTGATGGTGAAGCGAACCCGTGGAAAAAGCACAGTAGACTTCGCATAGATGGCCTGAAGATCGATCATCTCAACCGAGGGGTTGAAGGGCCGTTTGGATGGATTCACGAAGGGAACGTCGACATAGTCGCAGATGTCATGTTTCCAGCAGAAACAGACGACAGCATCGCCAAAGTCATGTCAGATTTCTATGATCGAATGGAGGCCACAGTGGCCTCGAATAGATATTTACATCTCCTTGAAAATAACCCAAGGACAAATGACCTCGATACTCCGGAGCAAAGAGCAGCCTATTCGGAGAAGTTGAAACGGGACGACGACAAACGCTTTCTTGTAATGGACCTCCGAGTCCACCTTAACGATGTAAAAGCCGCGGTCCCCCTCTTTACGCGAGATTTGTCTTACATTAATTCGGCGTTGATCCGGCCAATTGTAGCCTATATCAACTCTAAAAAGACCTTCATTCCCATCAATTGTCGAATCGTGAAACGAGCGAGCGAATTTGACGGTAGTTGGACAATATTCGACAGTGGTTTGATGGAGGACCTTTCAGCTGAGACATACGAGGCATTTGCAAAGGACGTGGTTGACAGTCAGGCCCGGATGCGAAGGCTTAAAAAGGTTGGGTTTTGGTCGATTTCATTGGCAATTCAGGCGCTTTTTATGGGAATGGCAGGCAACGTTGCCTGATAATGACACTCTTCTCACTCCGTTAACGATATATGTATAAAGCCGTCAATTTGTAGACTATGGGTTAGCGGGTACATCACCGGATCGGCGTACAGATATGGAGGTCACATCTGTCAAGATCGCCATGGAACACAGGAGTTTTGGGATATGGCGAACTGTATATAGTTGGTTGTAATATGGATAGACACGGGCCGCGAACGCACATCTGCCCATAGCAATGATTCAAAGAACAGATCATCTCACCATTGGTTTCTTTCTACAGGATTGGCTCTGAGCTGGTCTTCGCATTATTAAATATGATACCACCTCATGCCGCTATATCCCCCCGGTACAAAGGCTGCGTTGCTTTTTCCCAATCCGACCATGTCCACTTCCGATGTTAATACATGCAAATCGTGAAGAAATGTATCGAGCAAATTCAGGATCCGCGGCTAGACTTCAAGCGTCGCTCGAAAGCCACAAAACCATTACGCCCTCAGATTCATACTTACTTCTTGGGTGTAGTGTTAGCTGCCAGATCCTTGGAGTACACGGAGTCGCCATCGTATCCAAAGAGGGGTTCGTCAGCCTTCCCGCCAATTTCCATGAACTCATTCGGATTTCGATTCTTAGACGGCGTCTCTTCCTGCTTCGGCGCACCCGCGGGGCCCTTTGACAGTCCGCCAGCATTTGTAGCCATGGAGTTGTTGACTCGGTTTTGGGAAGCTTTCGAGTTTGGATTCTTGACATAAACCTTGATTGGATCTTTGTCTGGCTGGATCTCTATGACCCGCGTAATCTTGACATCGTTGATGCTGCTGAGAAGTGTTCGTTCCCGCGCCATCTTCCTTTTGCTGAAATCCAGACCCGCAATTCCACCAACAAGACCATCTGTACTGTCGTTAGGGTTCACTGCCCCTTGAGTTATCCATGGGTGTTCCAGGCAGTTGTCTATAGTGTATCGCTTTTCCACATCCACTGTCAACATGCGGTCGATTAAGTCGAGGGCTGGGTCACCAACGGAGTCCCAGTATGGGGATGGATAGTCGAACCTTCCGGTCTTGATCTGTTGCGTGAGGGTATATGGGTTCTCCTTTGTGTATAACTCGTCAGAGAAGGGAGGAAAGCCACACAGACATATGTAGAGCACAACGCCCAAGGACCATATGTCTACTGCGCGCGTATATCGGCGGTGTCTGCTATCCTCTAAGATTTCGGGGGCCACGTAGCTTGGCGTTCCACATAACGTTGTCGTGAATGATTCTTCACCAATGATCTTTGCCAGGCCGAAATCAGCTAACTTCACGTGCAGGTCCTTGTCTGTAAGTAAGATATTCTCGGGCTTGATGTCTCGATGCACAATGCCTCGATCATGCTGTAGAATGTTAGTGAAGAAGACACTTCAAGAGTCGAGCCACACCTACCAGATATTTAACACCCTGAAATAGTTGGATGAACACTTTCCTTGTTTCTTCCTCGGTCAACTTCTGTTTCATTACGATCCAGTTGAATAATTCGCCCTCAGGCGCAAGTTCCAGGACAAGATATACAGAATTGGGCTCGTCAAATGTATCCTTTAGACATAGCATGTTCGGATGGTTGACGCCCATCAATACCGCGATCTCCTGTTGTAAGCCTTCGGTCTTTGATCTCTCCTCCACACCAGGCCTCTTCGTGAAGATTTTGGCAGCATAACGCTGGCCTGTGGCTTTCTCAACGCATAAAAACACCTCCGCAAAGTGTCCCTTCCCAAGCTTCTCCAGCAGTGTATATTGTTGCAAGAAAGCACTCGTACCCCGATTCTTTGGATACCTGAAAACGAATCTGGCTTTATCCAACAAAGTAATCTCATCTTGATCTTGCAGCTCCCGACGTTTGTTCCGCCCGATGAGGGCTTCGTTGACAAACGTTCCGTTACTTGACAAATCCTCGAGAACAGCAACGTTATCACCACCTTTGTTCTCGGCGAAGATAAGACAATGCCTGTTTGAGACAATGGGATCGTCGATAATGAGATCTACCAAACTTCAGATTAGTCTCGGTCTTGACAAAGAATCTTTGGTCACTTACCGCACTCGGGATGGCGACCTATCAAATATCCACCTGAAGCGGTTCCCTTCGACTGCGTCTGCTCGTATGCCTCCTCCCCCTTTTCGAAGACCTTGGCATCATCGTTTTTGTTCTTTCTATTCTCACTGTATTTACCAACCTCCTCTATCCCATCGGGCTTCGGACACGCGTTTCGTCTACGCAAAACTAACGACTTGCCATATTTTTGATCCAACGGAAGCAGATATCCCCAGACACCCTCCTCCACCTCATCCTTGACTTCATCGGACAATGCAGATGTGGGATAGACGAATTGTGAGAAGGCTTGAGTATCTTGAGGTGGGGAGGAGAAACCAGGCTCTTCTGTTAAAGAGCTGGGATCGGGAGGACGCTGATGTAGTTGGCTTGGTCGACCCTCAGGCGGGGTTGCTGTGGCCTCCTTGTATGCTGCAGCCGAGGAAGCCGAGGATTCCTGAGTGATAGGAGATGGTAAGTGTTGCTTCTTGGATACCGGGGTTGTCTGAGGCTGAGATAGTCGTTGGGAACGGCGTGGTTTCTTAGCTGAATCTCTGTCGTCGGCAGCTCCGCCCTACGTCGCGCACACATCAGCTCAACAGTTGACACAGAAGGTATGGGAGGGCTAAACAGACTCGGTCGCGTTTCAATTGCAATTTTCCCTCTTGCGGAGCCATCTTCACTGGTAATCAGAGGCACCTCTGAGAGCAAGGGGAAAAAGCAAGAGGGGGAGAGCCGGGCGCCCAACGGCAAGGAGCAGAATTGGAGCAAGCTTGATGCCAGCCAGCGGAGCAAGAAATATAGAACTGGAGATGAAAAATGAAAATGCGAATTAAAATCAAGGCGATCAAGTCAGTTTGTCTCGAGTTGAAGGGGACGTCAATGGTAATCAAGATGTGGTTCTTGGAGGACGGGCGACGAATGCCTGATTACTCCGTGTGATATGATATGTAGCTATCAGGCACCGGATCGTCGACTTTCGGACGTCGAGCCGTTGGAGGAGAGATGCAAGTCACATAACGTCACAGAAGGTCATCACCATGGCGTAGTTACGCACATACATCTACAGACGTATACATTTACATCTAATTAATACGTAAAATACTCTGTACAGGCACGTAAAATACCCAGATGCTCACTCACGGCAGGTACTGTAAGGTACCTGGGTACATCACGGAGAATTCGCCCAAGGTATCTTGCAGGGCTTCTCGCCTCTGATTGGTGGTGCCTGTCCCCGGGACCTAGCCTCGTGAAGCCCCAGCCTTGCCTTGGAGGGCATCAGATAGCATCTTGGAGTGAGCTGATCAAGACCTGTGATTATATATTAGTTGTAGGAGGGATTGGATAGGCTATCTATCATCCATAATCAGCTCTCGAATCTGCTCTTCCTCTTCAGATTCGGGACTTGCGGCGAGTTTGATCGGCCTCTGTCGAGCCCCGCCATAACCCTCTCTGCCGCACTCTTTTGGCCCATGCGTCCTCCAGCACCTGGCGTTCCGCCCCTGGATGAATCTCCGGATGCTGTTGCTGGCACAAATTCTATGGCGTCTCTCTGGCCCCTAGTGTTTTCGTCTTCGCGTTTCTTGAGGATCTTTTGCTGGCTCCTCGCCAGCCCTTCTTTGTATGCACGCTCGGGAAATCCATCGGGATCCCATAGATCCTTTGGTAACGTAGTTGAGTACTGACTGGCCTCGTCAATGTCTGAAAAATCCATGAGCTTTTGCATGAGACTGGGGTTCTTGAGGGCCGATGATTTGGCTAGCTTCTCGTTGAAATGTATGCCCTGCTGTTTCAAGCGAAGGAAATGCTTGAATTTCACGTTTGCGCTGGCATCAGGGGACTCCGGAGGGGAAAGTGGGATGTCGTAGTTGGGGACTGTGGGAAGCGTCAGGTCTCGTATGAGGGCTCGATTTGCAGAGTACGGCGATAGTGGCGCGAATCCTTCACCTTCCGACGACTCGGGAATGGTATCGTCGATTGGGTTGGCCGGTCCTAAAACAGGACCTACGAGCGGAGCTGTCACCGGAGCTGGTTCAGGTGCAGGTTGGACAGCGGTCCCATTCTTTGGGGTCTCGATTGTATCTATCGCACGGTTAGAAAGAGGGTGCGGGTAGGGTTCAAGAAACATACCAATCGAGACGCGGGCCGTGGAAGCACCAGACGTTGGTGAATGGACTTTCTGGAGAGCAGCCACCTGCGGGTCTTCCTCGTCGTCACTACTCCCATAATTGACCAGTCCTGCCATTGTGGGGTTGTGAATTGTTGTAGACTTGGTGTTGGATGTTCACCCCCAAGGAAGGCCACGAAATATTTCAGTGCCTCACGGATCAGGTCGTCATTGGCGCCTTGACGCGGTCAAGCTTGCCTAGCCATGCTAACCCCCCAGCTTCAACATCCCACAGTCTCCTCCACAGTATCTGCTTCACATACTCTTTGAAAGCCTTCTGATTCTACCCCTCCAGCTCCATTCCATCAAACACACAGACAGCTGCAAGCATGAACCATCTCCCCCAAGCTTGGGGTCGGGTACGTCCAGAGCATCGAGCTTGGTTTATTGTAGCTCGCTGACCTTCTACTCTCCAGCCCCGGGACGACTATTACGGCGCGTATGATGCCTCGTACTTCCAAAGCAACGGACCCAATCAGCATACCCAGCAGCCCATCGTTACTGGTACCTCGGTGGTGGCTCTCAAGTTCAAGGATGGCGTTGTGATCGCAGCAGACAACCTAGGTACACCCCATCGCCTTCATACTATGCTTCTGGCCTGGACCTGACATACTGCACTCTAACAGCATCGTACGGATCTCTTGCTCGATTCACCGATGTCAAGCGGCTTCGCACCTTCGCTGATACCTCTGTTGTTGGTTTTGGCGGCGACGTCTCAGATATGCAGTACCTAGACCGACTCCTCAATTCTCTCGATACCGAAGAAGCTTATACCTCATCTGGCCACACTCTCAATGCACGCAATCTTCATATCTATCTCTCCAAAGTACTTTACAAGCGCCGATCCGATTTTAACCCACTCTGGAATCAAGTACTAGTTGCAGGACTAGACGAGGAAAAGAAACCTTTCCTGGCAAGCGCCGATTTACTGGGCACGACATTCAGTGCACCAAGCTTGGCTACTGGGTTTGGTGCCCATTTGGCTCAGCCTCTATTAAGGAAGGTGGCTCCTGACGAGGAGGCTGCAGCCACATTATCCAAAGAGCAGGCTCTGGAAGCGGTGAAGGAGAGTATGAAGGTCTTGTTCTACAGAGATGCAAGAAGTATGGACAAATATTCCATTGCTGTGGTGACGAAGGAGGGTATTGATCTGAAGGAGAATGAGAAACTGGAAAATCAGAGCTGGGCTTTGTAAGTTGCCTCCCGACCTCCTTGGACAAGGATGCCTAAGCTGACAAGAGGGATTAATTATAGCGCGGATCAAATTCGAGGATATGGAACACAAGTCAACTGAGAGACCTGTTTTGAGTACCACTTCACTGTACCATTAGACACGTAACAGCACGAGGCATGACCGAAGGCAGTAATTCCTGCAGCAACCTGGCCTTCTTCCTTCTAAACCCAATGGTGATTTTGAGAGAGATAACTGGTCGACGTTTATATATTTATTGTAAAGATACTCTGAACGTGATTGACTAGGGCCGGGCAGCCTTATTCTATGTACTTTGAGGTGTGAAGAGATATCTCATGATCTCACAGTAGGAACTTTAGCGGGTAAAGACCTGGGACAGATCTTCAATTCAAGAACATCGCCAATAAGAGTCATATAATGCACCAAGTCAATTACTTCTGCAAGAGCATCTAGAGCACAAATTCAAGACGTGGCTTATTTCCGGATTCCTGGACCCCTTTTCCCTCTCGCTAATACAATTATCAAACAATTTGGTAGAGGCTTCGAGGGCGTCTATTCTACCGTGACAGACTTCGCCAAGTTACGTGGGAAATCCACATTCAAGCCCTCTGCAACAGCCAGCCAGTAGGCCATAAGCTGTAGTGGAATGACGTTCAGCAGACCCTGCAGACAGTCGACAGTCTTGGGGATCTCAATCTTCTCGGCCTGACCATCCTTGAACTCCTCATCGTTAGGGTTGCAGATGACAATTGGCTTGCCTCCGCGAGCAATGACTAAAGATGTTAGAGAGGGGTAAAATTTAGGGTCTCTTCTGAAGCTTACCTTGTTGATAAGCATTGAGGGACTTCGCGAAGATATCATCCCGTGTAAGAATCATGATGATAGGTAGATTCTCGTCCACCAACGCCAATACGCCATGTTTGAGCTCTCCAGACATGACAGCCTCGCAATGTAGATATGAAATCTCCTTAATCTTGAGAGCCCCCTCCAACGCGGTAGAAAACTGACTGCCTCTGCCCAGAAGTAGGAGACTTTTTTGGTGCTGGAACACTCTAGCACAAAGTTCCTTGATTGGCTGATCGAGTTTCAAGATCTCCTTGATCTGCTCGGAAATGCGGCCAAGGCCATCCATAATATCCTCTCGCCTCTTCTGCTTTGACGCCCGATCTTCACTCAAGGACAGTGCGAACATGATCATAGCAATGAATTGTGACGTGTAAGCCTTGGTCGAGGCAACACCGATTTCTGGGCCGGCGTTCACGTGCACACCACAGTGCGTGAGAAGGGATATGGAAGATCCAACCACATTAACGATACCCACAGTCAATGCACCCCGTTCCAGACAGTAGCGCAGAGCCATAAGAGAATCGGCAGTCTCGCCAGATTGAGAGACGAAGACACAAGTATCGTCACGGAAAACAGGGGCCTGTCTATCGAGGAAGTCGGAAGCTAGCTCAACTGAGATTGGAATCTCAGTGAGTTCCTCAAAGGTGCCACGAACTGCCATGCAGGAGTGGTAACTTGTGCCGCAAGCGATGAAGATAATTCTCCTACAGCGACGAATAGTAGCGATATATGATCTTAATCCGCCTAGCGTGACCATCTTGTTCTCAACATCAAGGCGACCTCTCATTGTGTTGACGACGGACTCAGGCTGTTCGAAGATCTCCTTCTGCATGAAATGGTCGAACTTGCCCTTCATGATTTCTTGGAGTTCTAATTCAAGCGTCTGAATGGTACGGACGTTCGATGAGCCATCAGCCTTTGTGAGTCTGTGGATATTGAGAGAGCCCTCGTGGATGTGTGCGATGTCATCATCCTCCAGGTACATGACTTTCTTGGTGTGCTCAACAATGGCCGAGGGGTCTGATGAAAGGAAGAACTCGGTTGGCATTGGAGCCCCGTCGTCTGTCATGAAGGCTCGAGATTGGGATCGGTGCAGGAGCGATTTGTCAGGGGGTGCGAGCAGATTGCCAGCTGAAAGAAAGTTTCCAACATTGGATTTCTTCAGAGCAACGTTCTGGGATGCTTGCTCAGCAGGAAGTGGCCCATCCTCCGTATATTCGACGTCGACGAAATCCACCTTCATTCGCTTTTGGGTTCGAACTCCAATGACCAAGGGGGAACCCTTTCTGGCCGCAATCACCTCATGGGGATAGTGAACTGACTTCATCAGTAATCCGAAAGCCCCCTGCAACTCCTTGATGACCGCCTTTGCCAAATCTGTGAAGCCAATTGTCGGGTGCTGGTCGTAGAGGTACTTTGCGAGCTTGGCGATACATTCGGTGTCGGTGTCGGTCTCAAATGTGAAGCCCTTGGATGTCAGGAGTGTCTTGAGCTCCTTGTAGTTGGTGATAATGCCGTTGTGGACGACTGAGAACTGCCACGATGGGTCGGACCTGAAGTGCTACGTTAGTGACTGCAATCTAACTCCGCCCATACGCGTGAATATACCTGTGCGGATGGCAGTTGCGGCGAGACGGAGAGCCATGGGTTGCCCATCTCGTGTGTGCAATGCCAGCATGTGAATCAAAGATCCTGCTCAAATCTGGCTTCTCTTCCTCAATGAGCTGCTTCAATTTCGCAACCTTGCCAACCTCCTTGTAGGCAAAGACCTGGTCCTTCTTGTCGCCGTCTACAGCAAGTCCCGCAGAATCATAACCACGATACTCGAGTCGCGACAGGCCATTAACGAGAGTGTCGAGAATGTATTTCCTGTCCCTCTCGACGAGGTAGTTGATGTAGCCAAAAATGCCGCTGCATGAAGGATTAGCGGATGTGATTTGGGAAGGACTGTGAGACCTGGGCTATGCGTATACGCACCACATTGCTGTTTATTTTTGGGAGAGGGGGAGAACGGGGGAACGACCGAGCGGGCAGAGGGAGAGAGAGTGTGTATGAGTGAACGAGAGAAGAGGATAACGAGGGGAGCTGGGTTTGTTGTATGGAGGGCAAGGCAAGGGAAAAGAAGAGAAGAGAAGGTCTTATTCTCCTTCCATGAAGCAAGCTCTTTGTCTTTAACGGAGGACTGTGTACACTTCGGATTGGTGTTTTACAAACGTCCAGCCGCGGAGCGCCCTGGCTCGCTAGCGCCAGGTGGCTGGTGGCTTGGGGGTACGAGGTTCCTGGTACGAGGCAAATACGGGGTTTCTATTTTCTATTCTATTCAGGGACGCCGGCTATTAACATTTATCGGTTTACCCTGGCGTCAAGCCCCTTTGTCGGATGGCAGAAATTGGTCAGAACCAAAGTACCCGATTCATACCACACAAGTTGTATACAACGCCCTTCCTCTCCGACATTCTGTGGGAGCTGGAGGCTGCTTGGCTGGCTCTCTCCAAGCTTCCAGACTCCCAGGCTCACGGTCCACCCGAGCACCTTGACACCACACCACACCACACCGACACCGACACCGACACCGACACCGACAGGTGCTTACGGAGTAGCAGGAAAAGACTGGGCCGGATCGCGGATGGCGCGAGTAGCGAGGGAAGGGCAGCAAGACAATGCACTCTCACTACCTACTCCGTACAAGCCTCTCTGCAAGGGAATCCTAGCCCTGTCAGGACGAACGGCCGCCGTGTTAAGGCGCCATTCGATTCGGTGTATGCCCAGGGGGAGGGGACTATTACTTATGAGCGTCAACGAACCTTTTATCTACTTGGGGCTGGCCAGATCATTCAGATTCAACACTGAAATGCATTTGGCTTGCACAGCATCGCCCGAGCACACGTTTTGAATGTCTACGCATTTGTAATGTTATTGTTACAGGGTCAAGCCATTCTCGACCTCCATATGCCATGGCGCCAACGCAAGAAAAACAACCACTCTCAGACCTAGATTAGAGCTTTTGGTACTCCAGTTTGCCTTCCAATTTCTTCGACTCTGCTACCTTGCGAACTGCTTTGTTAAAATCGTCTTGATTGACGGCATCCCGGTAATCTTTAATTGCGAATAGGCCACTATAAATAGAGTTAGTCCCTGGAAAGAGCGGTTCTGGGAGGCGTGCCTACGCTTCTGTTACGACATTTCGCAAATCGGCTCCATTTAGCCCATCACTCATCTTCACCACACTCTCAAAATCAATGTCCCCCTCTGTAACCACGCCAGCCGCGTGGATCTTCATGATCTCCAGACGGCCAACTTCGTTCGGAAGCGGAATCTCAATCTTCCGATCTAGACGCCCAGCTCTGAGAAGGGCAGGGTCCAGGGTATCGGGTCGATTCGTAGCCATGATAATCTTGGTCTTGCCCAAGTAGTCAAATCCATCAAGTTGGTTCAGCAGTTCCATCAACGTCCGCTGAATCTCGCGATCTGCTGAAGTGCCCTCTGAGAATCGTCGGCCACCAATTGCATCGATCTCGTCCATGAAAATGATGCAAGGTTCATGTTCTTTGGCGTATCCAAACATCTCTCTTATTAGGCGTGCCGACTCACCAATGTATTTGTCGACGATTGCAGAAGAGACGACTGCAAAATGTCAGAAGCTGAGGGGGAGTAGACCTGTCCAGACTTACCTTTCAAGAAATTGGTCTCAAGACTGCTTGCTACAGCTCTCGCTAGTAACGTTTTCCCTGTTCCAGGAGGGCCATATAAGAGAACACCCTTGGGAGGCTTGATCCCAACTCTGAGGAAAAGCTCGGGGTTCTTCAACGGGAGCTCGATGACCTCCCTTAATTCTCTGATTTGTTCATTCAATCCACCAATTCCACCAAAGCTAACCTGGCCAGGGTCCTCCAGAGACATATTGTAGACAAGCGGGTCAACTTCTCGGGGTAACATTCGCATTATTGTGAGAGTGGTCATGTCGAGCGCAACGCGGGTTCCTTGCTTGAGCTGCGCCTTATCAACCTTTGATCTGCAGCCAACAACATAGCGAGGACCTGAGGACGCCTTGACGATAACTGTTGGGCCCTGTGTCAACGAAAGCAGATCGTCAAATGTTACAGAAAAGTACTCACATCTTTCATCGTCAAGTTGCTTCAGAACCTCTCCAATAATCTGTCCAACACTCTGTAAAGCTTTGATGTTATCTTCTGTGTCATCGAACTCCTTCTGCAACCCCTTGATCTCTAATCGTAGCGCCTTAAGCTTTGCCTCCCACTCCCTTGATTCCAGTAGCTTCGCCTTGAAGGAAGCCAACGCGTGTTGACGCTCCTCATCACTTCCGGAGGACATGTCGGAATGCGGAGGTAGGCAAGAGATGAGAAACGGCAATCCTGATGGGGCGCTGTGATGGTGGCAGGAGAGAGGAGGTCGAGGTGTTGGGAGGTGAAGGGTTGGCTTGGAGCTCCGTAGATGATGACTTTGGTACGCGAATGCCTTCAACCTGGAGACTAAGGTGGTCGGTGGAGTCGATAGCTTCGGGGAACCTCAGGCAGAAACGCAAATCACGTGCCGTCATATGCGCCGTAATAAAGGCATGTTGGGGTAGAACAGGCTCCCGTACCCCGATAGTGGCCCCCGTATTCCCCCACCAAGTTCTGTTGACCACGAAACAGCCCCTCTTCTCCCCCCATCACTCAACTGCTGAAAACGAAGCAAAAGGCAACTCGCGCATCACAAGGTCAGTCTACTGTTTTGTTTTATCTCGTTGTACATCCCTTTATATACCTATTGATTCTGTCTCTCTCGCACAGACAATGTGTGTGCGACACCCCTCAATGCCTTGATGTGTACCTTGGAGCCCTCTTCACCCCCTCCCCGCCCTTGCTCGCACCATCATGTTACCATATCACATCCTCAACCCCCACCTCGTCTCTGCAAAATCTTTTCTCCCTCCTCCAACTTCTTCATTATTTGGCACTGACAGCTTCTTTCTCTGTTTCTTCTTCTCAGTAACCAAATCAGCAAACCACAGAAAGTGAGCCTGAACCCCGAGATCGCGTCCTTCCTTTGCCTTCTTGTTTCATTTACCATTAATAAATAGCTAATGAGTTCCATCCCAGCAGACATCATCTGTCATCATGGCTATCACTAAGATCCACGCTCGATCCGTCTACGACTCTCGTGGCAACCCTACCGTCGAGGTCGATGTTGTCACTCATACTGGTCTGAACCGTGCCATCGTTCCATCCGGCGCTTCCACTGGTCCGTATATCCTCTCTTCGCTGCTTGCACAATAGAACTGACTAAGGGCGCGATTTAGGTCAGCACGAAGCGGTTGAGTTGCGTGATGGAGATAAGGCGAAGTGGGCTGGAAAGGGTGTTACCAAAGCCGTCGCCAACGTCAATGATATCATTGGGCCTGCCCTCATCAAGGCAAACATCGATGTCAAGGACCAATCAAAGATTGACGAGTTCTTGATCAAGCTCGACGGCACTCCAAACAAAGGTAATTTGGGTGCCAACGCCATTCTTGGTGTCAGTCTTGCTGTTGCTAAAGCTGCCGCTGCTGAGAAGGTAAGTACATTGCATTTTATCGCCAGCAAGCGTCTAATTTTGTTAGAATATCCCTCTCTACGCCCACGTTTCCGACCTTGCCGGAACTAAGAAGCCATATGTCCTTCCGGTTCCATTCATGAATGTTCTTAATGGAGGGTAAGTAATCCTGTTTCCAGATACCGTAGAACAATGACTGATTTCTCATCTAGATCACACGCTGGTGGACGTCTAGCCTTCCAGGAGTTCATGATTGTGCCATCGTGGGTCAAGTTTCTAAATTACAAACAAACATTACACTGACATCTTGCAGTGCCGCACCGTCCTTTTCCGAGGCTCTGCGCCAGGGCGCAGAAGTTTACCAAAAGTTGAAGTCCCTTGCCAAAAAGAAGTATGGACAATCTGCAGGCAATGTAGGAGATGAGGGTGGCGTTGCGCCAGATATTCAGACCGCCGAGGAAGCCCTCGAGCTCATTTCCGAGGCTATTGAATCCGCCGGATACACTGGGCAGGTCCATATCGCAATGGACGTTGCCTCCAGTGAGTTCTACAAGGCGGATGTGAAGAAGTATGACTTGGACTTCAAGAACCCTGATAGTGACCCAACCAAGTGGCTCACCTACGAGCAACTCGCGGAGCAGTACAAGGAACTGGCCAAGAAGTACCCAATTGTCAGTATTGAGGACCCATTCGCCGAGGATGACTGGGAGGCCTGGAGCTACTTCTACAAGACCTCTAACTTCCAGATTGTTGGCGACGATTTGACCGTGACCAACCCTCTCCGAATCAAGAAGGCTATTGAGCTGAAGTCATGTAACGCCCTCTTGCTCAAGGTCAACCAGATCGGCACCCTTACCGAGTCTGTGAGTATAAGCCCGCCCCATGAAGACCTTCTAGAATACAGTCCTCCTTCTACCGCAGTGTCTTTTGATGAGATGAAGCTAATAGTGATCTCTCTTAGATCCAAGCAGCGAAGGATTCTTTCGCGGCCGGTTGGGGTGTGATGGTTTCTCACAGGTATGCATTTTCTAGATCCCTTTGGCTCCTACTGAGTGAGACACTAACCGGATTCCAGATCGGGTGAAACCGAGGATGTGACCATCGCTGATATTGTCGTCGGCCTCCGCGCTGGTCAGATTAAGACCGGTGCTCCAGCTCGATCCGAGCGTCTGGCCAAGCTGAACCAGGTGAGCCTCATATTAGATCCTGAGGAGAACCTTCCGTGCTAACTGAATAGATCCTGAGAATCGAGGAGGAGCTGGGAGACAAGGCTGTGTACGCCGGCGAGAAGTTCAGAACTGCTGTCAATCTGTAAATAAACGAGTTGAATTGCCCCCCTGACAAGTTCTTGCTGGGAATGGACACCCATATAACGCATTGGCGGGTCTAACAACAAGCATATGCTAAGAAATAGAGATAAGAGAATGAATATTGTAGCTGGAACTGTCCCTCTAGACTTGCTTTACTATTATTTATGCAGATTTGCCAGATGAACGCTTTGTCGAAGTGCGCTGTCTCAGGCGCTTCAGGTACCAGGGTAACTACTTCGTTACTACGGAGTACCTAGGTACCTGAGCTTAACCCAGCTAGACTATTGGCGTGGCACGTGCATTACCCGATAAATTTAGCTCGCTTTATCAATTAGGCCGCAACGGGCCCTTAGTTAAGGCAGAAAGAAACACACCAAACGCAAACCTCAAAAGGCCTTCCCACAATTTCGGGATCTGTTTTCTTTCAAGCCTCAAAATCTTGAAAGAATCGCCAAAGATACCGCCACTCTCGATTTATAACCAGCACAAATTGTCAGATACCTCCCACAACGCGATTGAAAATCCTCACCATGCCTGAGAAGTGGGGTAAGTGGCCAGCTTTCGCACACGACCTTCGCGCGATAGGTAAATGGCTGACCACTACTTGACTGAGCAGACGAAGAAGAGGACAGCTCTACCCCTCCTAGCTCGCCTCCAACCGCAGCAGCCATCCCTAGGAGGAAGTTCGACGATGAAGAGGCCGAAGATAGCGATGTACTCGAGTCTTGGGATGCTGCTGAAGACTCCGAAGTCGAGCGAGAGAAGGCCAAAGCTGCCGCAGAGAAGGCCGAGAAAGCTAGGGAAGCAGAGAAAGCTGCCAAGAAATCTAGGTCCCAGCGAATAGCAGAACGGAAGGCCGAGAATGAGCGACGACTTGCAGAGCAGAACTTGGACGACAGCAGCGAGGAGGACGAGGCATCCAGGAGGGAACGTCTTCGACGCACCGAACAAGAGTCGGATCTCAAACACGCCGAAGACTTATTTGGCAATATTGGTATCAACGATCGCAAGGTCATTACTGCAGCCAATGCTGTTGTGCTTGATGACAAGAATCCCTCTGCAACTGTCGACTTGACAACTCTCCCACTCTTCGACCCTAAGACGAAACTGCAGTTTGAGAAGCTCCGAGATACTCTCATACCCATCATCGCCAGCAACTCTAAGAAGGCCCACTACGTGATCTTCCTCCAAGAGTTCACGAAGCAACTGGCTAAGGATTTGCCAAGTGACCAAATCAAGAAGATCTCAAGCAGCTTAACTGCACTGAGCAATGAGAAGATGAAAGAAGAGAAGGCTGCTGAGAAGGGAGGCAAAAAGAGCAAGGCCCAAAAGACAAAGGTTGCGCTCGTCACGAGCAGGAACACAACGACTGCGGATGTCAATGTTTATGATGATGACTTTGGAGAGTAAGTCTCACAGGTCCGTTTGTTGGAGCTGTTCTGCTAACAATGGACAGCGACGATTTTATGTGAAGCGGCTCGTGATATAGGCATTGCGCTTCTAACATCTTCTCGCACAACCTCTGCCAATAATAAGTGGCCAGCCTCAGCATTCTTGGCTTCTAGTAAGCAAAGCAAACGTCAACAGCGTGGCAAAGTGGACAATTACAGGTGAAACTCTGTTCGCAGGCAGTTAACTTCCCAGGCTTACCACCCTACGCTCAACGATTGTGTGGTTGAGTCGGTGGAGGAGGGTTGTATCGACAACGGATTTGCAGCGGCCTTTCATTTCATGATATTCATGTATTACTTGTAGAACGCGTGGTCCTGACTCTGGCAAGGCCCTTGCTTTATGCTTCACTCTGGAGGCACTTATTAGTCATGACTAGTATGCTGAAGGAATGCAAGGTTAGCAATGTCTGCTCCCTCTTGAGAATTTGACAAGTGAGACTGGCGGATATCAAGTTATCAAATTGCGAACTCTTATCAGTCCAAGGCAGTCAGTCTCCTGAAGACTTGCGCGAAGTACAGGGCATACATATACATATACATGCCTCAATCCATTCCCAAAACTTTCGTTCTCTGACTTCTCTACCGCTTTCACGTGCATACATTTCTGGAAGTCGAAGAAGTATCATGACGGAGCCAGGCGTCTTGTATAGGAATAGAGCCGCCTTGCTCAGCCTACGTACTGTATCGTTGTATCCTCGGATAGTCCGCTGTCGCCCCAGGTTGTTGAGCACGATTTGGTCTAAAACGTGTCTTGGACAAAGCTCTATATTCTAGCGCCCGTCTTACGATTTGCTAGATTTCTTTCCGAACCAACAGCTAGAGCAACATGGTGGCTCAACGCCACTATCTCACCCCCTTCATCAAAGACCACGACCTCCAAATCCATTCTCCCATTTTTTATCTGTTTAGTAGCCACCCTCACGAAGAGCCACTCCACCCCCTCCGCTGGTAAAGCTTTCTTGATATCCAGGTTCAGGAGGACGGTGGGATACCAGAATCCTGGCGGCTTAGCTGCAGCACTGTTCGTGGTGATATCGTACGGATTCTCTTTACTGAGAAATGACTCTACTGGCATGGGCCACATATCAACGACATACCCCAACGACGCACTTGTCCAACCCTCCCCAGTCTTTAGACGAATCCATTCATCTGCCATACCCCGCTGCTTCTGCCCTGCTCGCGGAAAGTGGAATTGCGTCTTCGATGTGGCCTTCCGAAATGACGCAAATGGCATATCACCCTGTCGAGCCCATCCAACGTCCTTGTCTTGTTTTAGGAGAGCAAGATCCGCTGGGACAGGGGGCGGCGTGAGCTTGTACTCGGTGGAGAACGTAACACCTTCTTCCGTGTGCATGTTACTGTGAGTAATGTAGCCCACAACCTCTTCACGAGAGTTGGGAGACTCTCCTTGGGAGAGGGTGACGTGGATCACAGATGTCTGGCGTCCAAGTTTGGTATCAAGCACCGTAAAGAGGGCAGGGCCTGCCTGAGTGCGGCGGAGGAAGTCCAGATGGAGAGTTATTGTATGAGGCTGGTTCTGCGCGGCCAGAGTGCTCTTGAAGTGGGCTTCAGCAACTCTCAAGAAGACAGCCGTCACGAAGCCTCCATGGGGAACTAAGGCGCCGTGTTAGTAGGTCTTCTGACTTTGACGAGGTGTCCTCTTAAAGACCTGATCCGATGCACCAATCATCGGGGAAATTGGCAGCGTACGTATGAGAAGACAGTTGGTTTACGGCGGTCGCCTGAGCGAAGGTCTTGGTATCTGAGGCCATGATGGTTCAAGAGAGAGAGGGGAGAGGGGGAAGAGGGGAGGATAGGTGGGTAGGTAGGTAGGTAGGTAGGTAGGTAGATCTCTATATCTACATCTACATCGAGGTATAAAGGAAGAGTGTACAATATGACACGAGAGCAAAGAGAGTCAAATCAAGCCATCGAGGGGAGTAGAGCAGGAGAAGAGGAAGAGGAAGAGGAAGAGGAGACAAGTTGATGTTTTATTCAAGACAAGGTATGTCATGTTCTAGATGGATGCTGCAGAGTACATGATGTACCGAGGTTGATGCATCCTATTTAGCCCAGGTACCTAGGTACGATGTGCTTACGCCTGAGGCACAAAGGTCAGGACCAGTATAGAAAATATGAGACGGATTTCCCGGTTCTGTAGAATACAGAACTGGCTCCTGTCCTGTGAACGTATAGTGCCAGCATGGCCGCAAAATACGAGACGTACTACTGCATCCTGTCCTTGTGAGACACCGCTCTGCTGTTACGGTGTATTGCCAATTTGTTACATGTTACAAGTTACGAGTTACGCCGTCTCTCCCCAACTCCACAGCCTCGCTCTTGCGGCGTCAGCATACCTAGGTAGGTAGGGATATATATAGAGATCATATGTATACGGCTGTTTATTTATATATCAGTCTGCTGGGCGTACCCTAGGTACATCATGATACATGACCCGGTGCCCGGTCTATACGTTCTGTCGAGGTACCTTGCAGTATAAAGAAAGGCAGACGCCGCCAATCCGTCCAGTGCGCCTGAACTCGCCCGTTACTGTGTTATTTCTGAATCCGAAACATATCCGAGTTGAAAGACCGATCCCGTCCTCCTTTCGTTGCTGCAGAAATACGTTATTGATCGGAATACCTGCCATCCTTTATTAATCCGCTTTCCAGCATTCTCTAACGGCGCGTCCGGGCAGGTTCGCGTGAAGCGAACTGGAACGAAACTCTCGACAGGCATCCCCCATCGTACTCCATCCCTCCTCTATGAACCCATACGATCGGCTCTGCCGTCGTCCATCTATCCCTCCAAGCATTTCTTCTTCCAATAATCATCTTCAGCCTTCGACCTAGATGCTATTGATCATCAATCCAACAGCCTTCGACAGCCCTGTCACACCCCAAGCAGCATCGAATCCCTGAGCGCGCCCTGTTGGAGGGGTAGATTCCGAAGGATGGGGAACGTCAGTAGCAGGCCCGACGAGGGCGCCATGCTGTATCTCAGGGACCAAACCAGGTGTTAGTACAATCTTGACAAAGTGGAGAGCCCGGTAGAGCTGATGCGGGTGCTTGTATAGTCACTATTTCGTCCTTGTCAGTCACCAGCTCACGAAGACGAACCGTCTTGAATGTGGCCCCGAACGCCTTCCCGGCGACCAAGCTTTCCGTGAACCGTGATCTTGGAGATAATAGCATGGTGGAGTTTGTGCAGGTACGGTCGCATCTCCTCCCTCGAGCAACCTAATACCTCCCTGGGCCGTCCTGACCAGAATCCATACAGGACCCTGAGCCGTCCCCCAGCGGAACCTCACCGAACTTCATACTCAAGCTCAACAACGAGGAGGACCTGACGTTCAATTTTACTTTCATTATTCGGCAGGCACCTTTGACTTCCGCAAGTCCTAACTCCGCTCAAGATGCTGCCAACAGCCTGGCAGATACTGTTATCAATGGTCTCACATATGTGTCGGCTTCTACGGCGAAAGAGGTGGAAACACTGGTTACTCGAGAATTCCATGCCGATCCGAATTTGCACAAGAATGCAAATGTTCAGTTAGTGGGGGACTATTCGACTGGTGGAAGTCAATCAGTATCTTTCGAGTGGTCCTGGAAATGGAGGCCTCCAAAGTCCACAGAGGACAGAGGAGGAGGTTGGAGAAACAATTGCAGTGTACGCCTCTCTTTACGAAGCGAGGAGTATCTTTGCTGACAGCCTTTAAGTTCGTCGAGTACGATCAACGAGCGCACCGCTTGAATACACTTGCGAGCTTTTCATTTTGGGTCTCTAGTATGCTCTCAACAATAGCGGCGCTCCCCATTCTCCTGCTAACTTCGTACCCAGATTATAGACAGTATCCGAGCCAGCCTAGCTCTCCATCTCCGTCTCTCGCCTTCAACCTCGTCCCTCCTCCAAAAGTTCGAGTACCATCATCACATTCCATGGATTCTCGGCTGAGCGTCCCCGACGCACGCGAATACGAAGAGCCCCCGTCGCCCAACCTGCCTACAAGTGAAGGATTCGCGGGAGGTGCTCAACTGCCGATAAGAGATGCGATCAAGGTGGATGTCTCTTGCCAGCGGCCGGGGGAGGACATGACTGCCGCCGAAGACGGTCCTCTATTTCGCGCAACTATGAAGGCTCTAGAACAAAAAACGGGAAGTATGAGACAGCGTATGAAGAAGGTCCTGAAAAAGGCCGAGGCGGCACATCTGGCACAGATAGAGTGCAACGACGCATTTTCAGGATTCATGGACGCACTACGAGAAGCTTCCTCCTCGAATGCCAACGCAGTTCAGCCAGCACTGGAGCATTACTTCGACAAAATTGCGCGACAAATTTTGCAGTATGAAAAGCAAAATACTGTCAACTTGCAGAGGATCATTATTGACCCGTTAACAAAACTTTATAATCTGGACATCAAGCAAGCAGAGTCTAAGAAGCGAGATTTTGAAGAGGAGAGCAAAGACTATTATGCATACGTCTCGCGATATCTCGGTCAACGGCAGGACTCGTTGAAACAAAAGAAGCGAGCTGAGAGCGATTCCAAATACCAAACGAAGCGCCGCAATTTTGAATTGAAACGCTTCGATTATTCTTCTTTCATGCAAGATTTACATGGAGGCCGCAAAGAACAGGAGGTTCTGTCACATTTGACCAAGTATGCTGATGCGCAGACTAGGAGCTACTTATCTACTGCTAAGCTAGTTGAAAGCATGCTACCCCAACTCGAGGCTCTTAGCGCCGAGGTCCAGGAAGCAGACAAGGAATTCCAGTACCAAAGGACCGAACGAGAGGAGAAACGCCGAACACTTGAGAAGAGCACGATCACCTACGTTGAACCAGAGACAGTACCTGCTGTAGGAGTCATGTCTCAGGCTTCAAACTTCAACGGCCATAACTCATATGTGTCCGATTCAGATCTTGGTAGGCCTGATAGTACATCTCAGCTGAGACCGGTGCCCACAAATGGAACAGTGGCATCCATGAATGGTGGGAATGAGTTCTCGAGATCGCCTGGCAACCTTTCATCTACCGTTGGCCCCATAGGGAGTCCTGGCCAAAACTCAAAGTTCAGAGGAATTCGGGACTTGGAAGAAAAAGACCACACGCAGATCGCAACACGTGAGAATAGTGGCACACAAAGAAAGGAGGGCCTATTGTGGGCTCTTAGCAGGCCTGGCAGCCATGTAGATCCAAGAGGTCTCAACAAGCAAGCCTGGCATAAGTGAGTCATTAAAACAAAAGCCTCGTCAAGCAAAGCACTAACGGAAAGCAGATTTTGGATTGTCCTTGACGCTGGTAAGGTCTCCGAGTACAGCAATTGGAAACAGCGCCTGGACTTGCATATGGAACCCATCGATCTTCGAATGGCATCTGTCAGGGAGGCTCGCAATGCCGAACGGCGGTTTTGCTTCGAGATCATTACGCCTCAATTCAAGCGTGTATACCAAGCAACTTCAGAAGAGGATTTGAACAATTGGATATCCGCAATCAACAATGCTGTTCAAGGCGCGGTCGAAGGAAGGGGTATGAGGGATCTGCCTACTCCAGTAGTATCACAGCCTGAACCCCATTCGATTCGAAGGGATATAGGCTCGATCTTGACTGGCAAAAGTTCTTCAATTAATCACGGGAGCCATCACGTTCACAGTAACGGGGCTGCCAATAGCGTGTTTCGTCGAACGACGGTTGGCGCTCGGCCGGCCTATGCACGCACAGGTACCAAGAGTTTCGATGAGAATCCTGATAAACTTCTTCAGCTCCTGCGAGAAGCAGATCAGGGGAACTGCTGGTGTGCGGACTGCGGCTCTGGAACAAAGACCGAGTGGGTCTCGATAAACCTTGCCATCATTCTTTGCATTGAGTGTAGTGGTATCCATCGTTCCCTCGGAACGCATATCAGCAAAGTGCGTTCTCTCACTCTCGACATCAACTCCTTTACTACAGACATTGTCGAGCTCCTAGTGCTCGTAGGAAACCGAGTGTCTAACATGGTCTGGGAAGCGAGACTGGACCATAAAACCAAGCCCTCGCCGCAGGCAACGCGCGAGCAGCGGCTCAAATTTATCACAGCTAAGTACGTCGAGAGGGCTTACATAGAGCCTATCTCATCCACTATCTCCCGTTATGCTACGGCCGACGAGACACTCGTGGCTGCCATCAAGAAGAATGACATCCAGCAAGTCATCTACGCATTAGCACTGAAGGCAAACCCGAATGTCACGGACAAATCGCGAGGGACACATGCGGTATTCTTAGCCCTTGCTGCGGCAGATCCTGCCTTGCCTTCGCCAGTGACATCCTCCCCTTCACGAAGTGATGCACCTCCGGTCAAAGCGGTGGCCTTCCCGATTGCGGAGATGCTTGTACAGAATGGTGCTGTGATACCGTCTACATTGCCAGCGTTCCCACTCAGTCGAAGTGCGACGTTATATATTGAGCAGAAGAGTGGTCGTCAGGGTGGTCCAGCCAACGATGCAGTTGGCGCCCTGCCTACCACGAGCGTTGGGGAGAAGCAGAAAGAGCGCGAGGCGCGGTTGCAGAAACGGGTCAGCGTTGGAGGAAGACTGGCGAAGACAGCTATCCCAGAAAAGTGAGGAGACACGGGATAGGACATTTTGATGATTGCTTATGATGGTTTGGAGATACCATGGGAAGGGTTGGTCTGATAGGAGCATTGTTGGAGTTAGGTTTCTCTCAGCAGCATTGCTGGGAGGAAAGCGTCAGGGTGTGCGGGTCTCTGCCACACTGGCACGTTATCACTATCTGGATCCGTCGACAGAGGGCCATGACTGGATTGGAAAAACGAAGAAAATTCATGTTATGGATAATAATTAATGCGTGAGAAGAGACGATCATCAGCTCGTTGCTTCGCATGGTAGTTTTACCTGTCATTTGGACAAGAGGGGCGCATGCCAGGATAGATAATACCTTATGCATGTATACATACAGATACACACATACAGCAGCCCACATGAAGTCAAGGCTCGTAGAAGCGTACCTAGGTACCTTACCTATAAAGGAGCACCCGATAAATATAGAAACGAGAAGGGGAGCGGGCGAAAAGGGGAGGGGGCGTGTTCTCGCTTACGCCGCATGACGTAGAGTAAGGCGGTGTGCAGTATCTTCCTGATTTCCTAGGCAGGGCGTACCAGGTACCTTGGATAATTCACATGAAGATGTACTTTACCTTATTGTCCTGCACACCTGTCGCTTCGCCGGGGATCCCTCGTATGGGATCTCGAACTTGCCCTTCCACCGACGAAACCTTGAGATATCACCGCTACCTCCTGCCCTCCGTGATAGAACTTTTACTCTCGAAACATCTACGGTCTCTGCTTTCGTGAGGCGCCACGTTTGAGCGAGCGTCCTGTTGCCCCGACTTGTTTATCCACCAGCCCCGGATCCAACCTCCAATCAATTACCCATGCCCGAGAATGACAAACCCCAGCCTGACGGCCCCATAGATGGTGGGAGTACTGATGCTCAGAATGGCCCCGCGGGGAAGGAATCCAATGACCCCCAAGGAAAGGTCGCGCAAGCAAAGGAGAAATTGTCTAAGAAACAGCAGAAGCTCCGCGACAAGGCCAACCCCCCAGGAGGATATGATTCGACTCGATTCCCGCCCGCTCAGGATGGGTATGTCGTACGATTTACCTTCCACCGCGCGGAGAACCTACCAGTCTCCGACCTGAACTCTCGATCTTCGGATCCATATATCCATGCGACATTGACTTCTTCCCTGCCAAAACGACATAAAGAAGACCCCGACTTGATATTCAGAACCCCAACGGTTCATAAGAATGTTAACCCGGTATGGAGTGCACAATGGGTAGTCGCAGGAATTCCGTCGAGTGGGTTCCGCTTGAAATGTCGCCTCTACGATGAGGATCCAGTGGATCATGACGACCGCTTGGGCAATGTGACTATCCCTGTGGACCACATTGATGAGAGTTGGCCTGGTATCCGAGAAGAAGGTTTCGGCATTAAGAAGCGCATGGGAAGCAAGCGGGCATACTTGATCCGAGGTTGCGCCTCAATGCTCAGTAGCAATGTGCATATGGATGGGTATCTCTATGTGAGTGCGGAGGTCCTGGGGTTGGCAGAGGAGCCTTTCGGCCGCATGTACACGGTTGGGCCGACCTCATGGTTCAAGCATTACTCGCCCATGATCGGACGACTCGCTGGCACGAAGGCTCCTGGACATTCAGGGGACGGTACGCACGGGACGATCGAGAGATATGAGTAAGTCTTGCATACCCAGGACCGACAGAGACATCTCTAACAAAATATAGCTTTCAGGCAAACCAGTTCCAACTTCAAGGCCCCGTTCCGGCCGAGTTATACCATCGATTTGTTGAATTTAAACCCTTTGTGAAAGCCATGTTCTCGAAAGCTGGTCTTCGAGGGCGGATCTTGAACAGGGCCCTCCATCACCAACATGCTCGCGTGTACAATTTCAGCAATAGCACTGAATACGGAGTTGTAAGGCCTAGGTCCGAAGAAGCTTCTCTCCAATTTCTCAAAATGGTCCACTACGACAAAGGAGGCCGGATATTCACCTACGTCCTGACACTTGATGGCCTCCTACGGTTCACTGAAACTGGGAAGGAGTTTGGCATTGACTTGCTATCAAAACATACTATGCATAGCGACGTGAACATCTATGTCGCATGCGCTGGTGAGTTTTTCGTCCGGCGTCTCTCCCACCCTGAAAAGATTACGGATGCCCCTGAGCAAGAGACACACCCCAACAAGGATATCCCAGGTGGTCCGCCAGACTTGCCACCGCCTGAAGACCCAAGGAATTACGAGCTCATAATCGACAACGAAAGCGGCACTTACCGTCCCAAAGGGTTTTTGCTTCCTCAACTCAAGCAATTCCTCAACGAAAATTTCCCGGGTCTTCATGTAGTTGTCAAAGACGGCTCTGATAAGGATCTGGCGGCGTGGAAGGACAAACAGAGAGAGAGAAAGAAGAAGGAGGGGGGAAATGTGGTGTTGGTGCAGAATTCTGACGATGAGATCAGTAGTAGTGACGAAGAGGCGCTGGATAAGAAGATGAAAGGGCAGAAAAAGACACGGAAGCAGAGGGCCTACGATGCTCTCGAGGATCCTGGAAAGGCGATGAAAGAACTTATTCCCGGGGAAAAGGGAAGAGAGGAACGCGAGGAGCGAGAGATAGAGGGGGATCAGGCAGAGCTTGACGGCAAGAGATCGGGGGTCTGATATGGTTGCGTCGAGGGAGTATGAGGGCGTAAATGATGTACTAGCGACGACTCGTGAATCTGTGCGGCGTAACCTCTCTTGTCTTGATTTTTCTCTGGATTTTCTTCGTTTTTTCTTTTCTTTGGATACCCATTACCTTTACTGGATTTAATGTAATGGAGGGGTGTACTTCTGAAGTTCTGAGGATTTGGATGCCAGCCGGTTCAGTTATTGATCAGAGAGGCAAAAGGATGGATGATCCATGGCCCGTAATGATCGACCCGGAAACAAGAAAAATTGAAACAAAATAAAACAAATAAGGGAATGAAGGGCAAGCAACAACACTATTGCGAGGTCAGATTGTCAAGTCATTGTCCAAGTCTGTACTGTACCTTTGAGAGTGGGGCAGCAACATGAGATGGGAGGAGAGCTTGCATCGTGCAACTTCAGATCAGAGGAGATGCGCATCACGATGCAGTGAAGATCATACGCAGGCAAGATACAGTACGGCAGTAGTAGACAGATAGGTAGATAAAGCCAGCTTACATTGCTTACATTATCTACATTGCACTGTGCAATGGCTACTGTACTGTGCTGTACCTACTACCATTGAATGCGATGCCTAGTCCAAGGCAGATGTCGCGCAAGCAGCACAGCGAGGTGTTCGCAGAGAGAAGCAAAGGAGAGAGAGAGGAGGAGACGACAAATCAGGGCCTCGGGAGTTCGGGGAGAGAGAAGGGTCGGCACGGCATCCCGGCGTTCAGCTCAGGAGTCGACTGACTACTGACTGTTGAGTAGTTCAGTCAGCATTATCAGCCGCTCTGGGAACAGGAGATCCGAGGGCGGTCCGGGCGGGTTCGTTGGACTCCAGTACTACTACTACTATTATTACTACTACTGCTATTTATTACTGGACTCTCCTTTGACGAGGCTCGAAGGCGGAAGGTCTGGAACTGCCATTTGGGAGTGGGCTGGGTGGAGCGCGGGCCCAATGAGGTATCGAGTGGATTACGTGCAGGGCGGGTGTGTGGGTGATCAGCGAGCTCTCGAATAATCATCGATCGAATGAAATCTGGCGGGCATTTGCAGGGCAGGGCAGGGCAGGGCAGGGCTCATGATTGATTGCCTTGATTGCAGGGCTGGCGTTTTGGGCGGCAGGGTAAGGTAGGGCAGGGCGGGCGAGCGTCATGGATGATATAGCCATTGATAGGGGAGCGGGAGTACAAGGGGAAAGGAAAGGATGGGAGGAAGGGTGAAGGATGTTCGGCACACATGGGGAACACGGGAATATGGGATATGGGATATGGAAAATGGAATGGGGAGTTCGGAGTTTTGTTTGGGATTATTGAGGAGCGGCAGCGATAGGGAATGAGGATCTGTCAAATGGCACATCCCGAGGGTGATCTCTTCTGCCGTGGCTATATAAGGAAAACAGAAGCACGGAGTAGAGTAGCAAGGGAGGGAGGTAAGGTAGGTAGGGAGCTGTATATATATATAGAGGTATGTATATATTTATACATTCATAAACCATGCTTAGATGACAGATAGGACGGAGTGGGAATCCGAATTCCTCATGCCCTGCCCTGCCCTGCCCTGTTCGCAGGCGATGTACATTAACCTAGGCTCTAGCTACAGGAGTGTATCTAATAGCTACCTAGCAGGACAGCACAGCTGCACAGGCTATACTGACTACCTACATTGGTTCAGAGTTACTCCGCAGGTACAGTAGCGGGAAACCCAAGGGGAGAGACCATATAACCTCTGTTGTGGTTCTAACTCTGGTGGTTATTGTTTTGTTTTGGTGGTTGTTTATATTTCTTCTTGTTATTGTTGTCCCTCTTGAGACGTGAGCAGCACACGCCTTACTAAGGTCAGCCCTTCAGAATCAGAAGAGAGTTTCCGGGATCCCTACGGACTCGGTCAGTCGGGTCTCAGCAGCCAATCCCGCGCGGCAACCAGCTCCCGAAGCGGCTAATGTGGTAATAGTAATAGGTCCTGATGGTAGTGACAGTAATAGTCCGGGAATAGTCGTGTAAATAGTCGTAATCTGCTGAATCGTGAATCGTGAATCGTGAATCGTGATGGACGCGAGAGAGGTCCTAGAGGCAGGAGAGGCAACAACAGAGGAGAGGGAGTAAAGAAGAAGAGAAGAGAAGAGAAGAGCAGGGCAAAGACAGAGAGAGGAGGCCAAGAGCATAACAAAAGTCATGAATCATGAGGACCGCTTCAGCCATACCTTACCTTTGTATATGTCCACGGCTCTGCTGCCTCTACAGATCAGCCCCTACTGCGTAATCATTAAATGCCTCGAGCGAGCAGGTAGCAGTACATGGCCAGTACAAATAGTGGTACATCCATGGGTGGTACCGCCAAAGTAACTCGCCGCGCTATGGCTGGCGGGAAGGTACCTCGATGGGACCTCAGCCGCATGTCCCTGTCATGCACCGCTGCTGTTCCAGCCCGTCACCCCTACAGTCCCTCTCCCACGGCGCGACGATTTGCCAAAGAACAAACAAACAATTCTCCTCGTCGATGTCTCCCGCTAACCCTCCGTGCTCCGTAGTGTAGAAGACTAAGCCCTCTTTCTTCCCACGATCCATGATCCATTGTCCCAGCCCTTCCGTAATCATTAAGCCCTGGATCAATCATCATCATCATCATCATCAGCCCCTTCGCCTCTCGCCTCTCGCCTCGCCCTCCCCTCCCCCCCCAAAACTCCCCTCCCAGAGAACGCAGAGAACGGCGCGAAGCTCAAGCCCAAGCCCAAGCCCAAGCCCGAGTTCAAGTCCAAGTCCAAGTCCAAAATCAAATCAAATCAAAATCAATTCCAACTCCTTCTCGCTCCTTTTCTCTCGATCTTCTTTCTCCCTGATCTCCCTCTCAAAATAGTCGTCCAAGGTTCCCACCCGCCAACCCCACCCGCCACACAACCCACCACTCACCTCGCATCGTCAATTTATCCGGATTTTCATCCATCCATCCACTCCGTCCCATCCCTCCATCATCCCTCTCCTCCCGCCCACCACACTTCTACTCCCTCAACCACACACCACCGCTGCCCCTCTCCCGACCTATCATCATCATCGGTCTGTCTGTCCTATCGCAATCCCGTCGTCGTCGTCCTCGGTTTTGCGTCGATTTGTTTCTGCTTCAGCAGCCCCCCGTTCTGCGATTTCCTCTCGTGTCGCCTCGGTCTTGCTGCGTCCAACCTTCCTCTCGGATCCCCCGCTCCCAAGGTGTTTCCTGTAGTTGATTAACCTGTGTGTAAGTCGATCTTCTCGCTCCCCCGTCTGCCCGCTCTCACGGGAGCTTCACGCGCGCAATCGAGTCAACTCAGCCCTCCATCTTCAACTTCAACCCGACAACACACCCCCCCCTCCCCGACAACCCCTCCTCCGCAACAGACCGCCCGTGGCCCGGGCGTGGTTGTCTGCAATCGCCGTCTGTTCTGCTGCTCGCATCGCATCTCTGCACGCGTGCCATGGTTATGCCAGGTGCATTGGCCCTCTGCCCGCATCCTCCGGTCCACGTCGCCAGTCCAGCTGCGCGCGTTTGCCTGCCCAGCTCGGCGCAAAGGGTAGAGCGTGTGCGGATCCGGACCTTGAGTGGCCCTGCTGTCGTCTACTTTATCTCTCTCGGGATCGAGAGTTCAGACCATTTGACTGACCCGTGCTGCTACGTACAGATTTGAAGTCGTCCGCCGCAATTCTTTCCAGCGAATCTCGCCGTCTTTGATTGAGGCACTTCCAACTTCGACTTTCCTACAGGCGCTAGCGCTGTCGTACCTTCGAGCATCCTCTTATCGAGTTCCTGCTTTTCAACTGCTTTCAGCCATCCGCAACGAGCGTCACTTTACGGGTCGTCGATATCTCCTTCGAGCTGGTTCTGCAATCTCTTGAGGTAAGCTTATACCTCCACCCCTCCCCCCCAACATCAGAAGTGGTCAGACCCCTCCTCGACATTGAAGCCGGAGAGTCACCGAAAATCTGCGCGCCGCAACCCGTGGCTATTGCCTGTTTCCTTTTCATCCAGTCAAGCTTGAGGCGAAGCTATAGGATTCCGATATACCTCTTTCTGAGCGCAGAATGCTGGATTTCTACTTGACGGGGAGTGAGGCAATGTGGAAGTAGGATCTGCGGAGTGGCAGTGGATGTGAGCCGCATAGGAGCCACCTATAGATTGCTACATTGGCCTAAGTGATGCGTGCCAAGTACCATGCAAAGCCTCCCCAAGTCCATAAAGTCAACTAGCGTTCGTCGTCCGCCTCATCAGGGCCAAATCTATCGATCCTCATGGCTCAGGATTGGCAGACGCTGCTGAGGTGGTCCTGGAGATGAGGAGACGCCTCCAACTGAAGCAAGATCTTCGGACGTGATGCTTGCCACTGCAAGTGTGAGAGACGAAATCGCGCACCCCATACGTTTCTGGGGTCCTGTTCGAGTGACCGGCCCCTGTGCTGCTTGTCATGTAGTGCTGACGCCGCGAGAACTTTCCCAACGACGAATCTGTTCCTCCTTGATCGTGACACCGTATAACATAGTCGCGTCCGAAATTGACGCGTGAAGTTGGCCAGTCCTGGGATTTGCATCTTAGTAGATGAGCTCTCCGCACAAGAGTGATCCCTACGAATAAACGGGCTTCCTATCAGTCCTTGTGTAGCTGCCGTACTCCCGCTGGCCTTTTCCGCAAGGTGGTGCTTGTGAGAATCGATGGTATCTCTTACACAAACCCCAGATCAGTCGGGCGAATAGAACGCGATTCTGTCGAGTGATCGACGCCTATAAAAGTCCGCTGGTGTGAGCCTCCTATGACAAGTTTCTGAATGATCTGGATTAGTTGTGACCTGTTGGAGATGACTCCCCGCGTTGCTCAACGTAGCAAATCAGGTTGTCTGTTGAGCCTCTACTTCAAGGAAGTCAGCAGGTGGAACCCGTGCCAGGTGCGAAATCCATTGTCTAAGTTCTTGAGTACTTAATTACCTTGCTTGCATTCATTAGTCAAGATGTTAGGTTTGGAGGCTGCAGACTTGGCGGCAGGTAATATCCTCCGAGTCTCGGTGTTGTGTACATTGTCTAGTCTTGGATTTTTTTCAACCCTATTTGCTATGTGAGCTATTTGTGGATGGGTGCCGAGACCGCAAATCGTCCAATTCGATGCATGTTTTGTGCAGGTTACGAAAGCGCTCGAACATGTAGTAACATTCACGAACAATCAAAATCCTGAAGGAGCACCACGTCTGGGGATTGAGGGCAGATCTTGTAGTAGTTCAAGGAACGCAGACCAAGGTCTTCGGGTGCAGCGCACATTATTATGCAGCGGTCTCTTGTAGTAATACACCAGGCGGTTGTATTTATGTTTGCGCATGTGGTACATTGTTTTACCTTGCGTTGGATCATGATTGTTGGCCCTTCAGCTCTCGTTGGATGTTTTCCATGCCTGGTCATCGCTGTGCCTCGATGCCTCACTATGCCTCACTATGCGCTTTCCGGAAGGGGTCTGCCACTACTAAACTTGACAGAAAACATAATGAGCAACGTTCTGACTAGGTGAATAAACAGATCATCATACACACTTTTTCAGTTCCAATTTGATCATTGACCCTTTCTAAGCGAACCTTGCTGCTTAGCCGATTTAGCCCCTCATCGATTACATCTCGCGACAACAACTTCTTTCTACACCACCAACCGTCCTTCAGATTCTACCAACCCTTCTATCTTGATACCTCGTTCTTCTTTTGAACCCGTATTCTACTCGCGATAGCAAAGATGGCATACCAACAGCAGTTTGACCCAACCCAGCAAGTCCAGTTTGCGCCAGATGGCAATGGCAACGGACTGCAGCAGGGGCCCCCTCAACAGGGAATCCCCCAGCAACGGCAGCCTCAGGGCATGCAACAACCCCCTCAAGGTCAAGAGGGAGGTTCTCCAGCTCCATTTGCTCAGCAACCTGGTGTTGAAGGCAGCGCCGGCAGCGTCGCCGGTGACGCGAAGACAACGCTCTGGTAAGCTTTTGACCCTTCCCCTGTTTCAACTATATCATTTCGGCATCGCGAACCATCTCAGTCTTGAGTGGCACCTTTGAAAACGAGTGTGTCTTTTTTTTACGGTCTTCCAGGCCCAAATATCACACCTCGCCACCTGCCACCAGTCTTTACGAAACATTTATAAGCTTCGATATTGATACAGTTCCTCTAACGTCTTCTGTAGGATGGGTGAGCTCGAGCCTTGGATCGACGAGAACTTCATCCGCAGTGTCTGGTTTGGCATGGGTGAGAGCGTTAATGTGAAAATGATCCGTGACAAATTCTCAGGGTGAGTGTTCACGAATGAGGAAGACCGCCAATATCATAACTGACCGTGATAGCAACGCTGGTTACTGTTTCATTGACTTTGCCACTCCTGCTGCCGCCGCCAAGGCGCTGTCCCTGAATGGAAGCATGATCCCGAATACCTCCCGACCCTTCAAGCTCAACTGGGCTTCTGGCGGTGGCCTCGCAGATCGTCGGTCAGCATCCCGGTTCATATTCCTGACTTCCTTTATCTCAGTTCTCGAAATAGTTACTAACTATCTATCAGTGATGAGAGAGGTCCCGAATACTCCATCTTCGTTGGCGATCTTGGACCTGAAGTAAATGAATACGTCCTTGTCTCACTCTTCCAGGCCAGATTCCCATCTTGCAAGTCGGCTAAGATTATGACCGACCCCATCTCCGGCATGTCACGCGGATACGGTTTCGTTCGTTTCGCTGAGGAAGGTGATCAACAGCGAGCTCTTACGGAGATGCAGGGTGTCTACTGTGGAAACCGCCCTATGAGAATCTCTACCGCTACTCCGAAGAACAAGTCTGGGGGTGGTGGACCCGCTGGTATGCCTATGCCAGGAGCCATGGGTGCTGGAATGGCACCGGGCATGTACTCGATGGGTGCTCCGCCGCCTCTGGGTTACTACGGTGCGCCCCAGCCCATGAACCAGTTCACGGACCCGAACAACACCACGGTCTTCGTCGGTGGTCTATCCGGGTATGTTACGGAAGATGAGCTGCGTTCCTTCTTCCAGGGCTTCGGAGAGATCACCTATGTTAAGATTCCTCCTGGAAAGGGCTGTGGCTTTGTTCAGTTCGTACAACGTCATGCCGCAGAGATGGCAATCAACCAGATGCAAGGGTACCCGATCGGAAACTCTCGTGTCCGTCTTTCCTGGGGTCGCTCGCAGAACAACTCTGGCCCAGCCGGCACACCATATCGGCCAGCACCGCCTCCCCCGCAGTACCAGTCCATGGGAATGCCGCCTACCCATCCATACGGCAACTTTGCACCTCTTCAGGTAGGTCAATACCCATATCCTTGAGATCACCGCTGACCCTCTGGCGCAGTAAGAATGCATCTTCGTGTCTCGCGAATGGAGTTTGATATAGCGATCATGGCGTCTTTCTGCAATTGGCTTGCCTTTTTCAGTGGCTTTACTTCTTTGCGTCCAATGCCTGGATAGCCTTTTCTCCTCTTAGCGTTACTTCAAAAGTATCGGATGGGTGGGGATCTGCATTTTCCATGATGCCCATGTACAAAAGTGCATTAGACGTCTCCTTTTCATGCGTCCACGAATGGATATCACATGCGCTGCTTTCCTTACTCATGTACTCCTGTAGCTCATCACATAGCTTTGCGTTGTTCGTTGTGGGCTGGCTAGCAGGGCTTCTCTCGGTTGGCAAAGGGGTTGTGTCTACTACCAGGCTTTGCCATGATGCTTTTTTTACTAGAAACTGCCTTTGTCCTCGTTTTCCAATGATGTTTATCTCAAAAGTTAAAAAAGTTTAGACTGTCCTTTCGCTCTCTCGCACACTGTCACGCACGCACACACACACCGCCACCAGGCCCTACATTTTTAGGAGACTCGTGGCCTGTGCGAGCTCAACTAAAAAGGCCGAATCGTACCGTCCTTTGCAACTCTCACGAGGCGTCGTCTTTGCTTTCCACATACCATGTTCGCATTTTCGCATGCTCTACGGCGCCTTCTGAATTGCTTTGTTTTTGCTTGCTTGCTTACTTGCTGCCCACCACCACCCACACTGTAGTAGCGAGCGTTTCCCCCCGCCTGTACTTGTACTTATACAACCCGTGTCTGTATGTTCGCTCGCTGCTTTTCTTTTCTTTCTTCTTTTGGAAAACCATGAGAAAAACTGCCCCCGTCAATGTGCTGCTTGCTTGCTTGCTTGATGTGCTGCTGTCTGCTATCTAGCTTCCACCCCGCGCACGCCTTCCCTGCCTGCCTGCCTATCTATCTATCTATCTATCTATCTCACTGCTGTGCTGCTGTGCTGCTGTCTTTTGTACGTATGTATGTATGTATGCATGTATGTACCGCACTGTACAGTACAGTATTGGATAGGATCGGATCGGATCGGATCGGATTGGATTGGATTCCCTCTCGTGCGTGTGTGTGGGTACCAGGAGGGAGGAAGAGAGGAAGAGAGGAAGAAAGATAAGATACCCTGATAAGTACGTATGTATGTAGGAGGCAATGCGCTGCGTTGCGTGGGTTATGTGTGGCTTGGTTTTGGCTGTGCGTCGAAGTATGAGGTGTTGTGTAATGTAATAATAGGTATTATAAGGTTTGGATTTTTTTGGATTAGGGAGGTGAAGGGGTGGGTGTTCTTATTATATCATTGATAGTGATGTGGATGGATGGATGTAGCAATGGATAAGTAAGGATCATGAAATTATATATGTGCATTGAGTTGCAAGCTCTCATTGCGGAAGCAGTACAAGATGATAGGAAGCCAGCTCCTTTTTCTAAATGCATATTCCACAACTGTCCCATGTCCGTCGTCTATCATAATGAACTCCCATCGCTCAAGTAGAACGGGCCATCAGTGTTTTGGTATATAACTCCTCATGACGCAGCATGTTCCTCCATTTTTCGCAGACTTCCGAGTCTGGCGTCCGGAAATTTTAAACAGTGAAGGAAAAAGACAAAGGGAAAATTACTTCCGCACTTTCCTAGCATGCTTCACTAGATTCTCAATGACGCCCTCGAATGCCTCCCTATCCCCTAATTTCTCATCCGTCCGTTTCGTCCAGTATTCCAGGACTTCTTTCGCTGTCCCCTGCATGGCTTCCAACTTCTTGACGTGCTCCTGTAACTCCTCCATCGTAAGCCCGTTTAGTGCCTCGTCCGTGATGGCACACAACTGCCGTGCTGAGACTAGATCTAGCTGTGGCTCAGGCGGTGGGCCCTTCCTCCTCCGCGACTCTGAGCGGGAGGGCTTGCCCTGCGAATCCAATGACGTGGACGAGGTGTTCCCATCCGGGTGCTTGAGCCGCGACGCGGAGCGGGAGTCAGTTGATGTCCGTGGCGAGCCAGAAGGTGGGTTGAGGTGCATGGACGGAAGGATGAGCTTTTTCTGCTTCGAAGCGGGGAGGATCTCATCGAGATCGACAGGCACGCCCAGGGAGACAAGGAAGAGCCTGCGGATGCGAGACCGGATCCAGTTCGCCGGCTGGAGGGGCGGGGGTGCGACGAGTTGCGACCAGAGTGAGGCGCTGCGTGGGGTAAGGAAGATGGGGTTTTCGGCGTGTACCGGGGGGAGCACGGAGGAGTCAATGGTATCGGGCGGGAAGAGAGTATCCAGGTACGGTTCGGTGGCGGCTGCAATGTCTTCTGTCGAATTGAGAGCGGCAAAATCGAGGACGGGCTATGGGATTGGTCAGTCAAAGGTTTCAATATGCATAGGCCTATGTATATTGTTACTTACAATCGAGAATGTCGGAGGTGTTGGCTGCGGTGGCGGGGTAGGTTCTGCCTCTTGAAAGCCGTTGTCGAAATCACCAAACTCTGCATCCTCCTCGCCTTCCTCGAAATCATCGAAGTCATCTCCAAAACCCCCGTCTGCAGATTCGTCCTCTCCTTCGTTGTGTGTTCCATTGGCCATCTTCCTCTCTGCCTCAGATGACTTCCGGCTTGAGTGATCTATGACCGGGGACCTAACACCATCTGAAGTTGGCGACCCTGACTTGGTCAATCGCGCTGAAGCACGAGGGGATGGGGTTGCCGTACCTGCAGTGTCCTCTGCTACCTCCACAATATCAGGCTCCGCATCTTCCTTTCTCATCTCGAAAGCTCTTGTATTGGGAACGTCTCCGTGACTAGGAGAGGACGGCTCAACCAGCTGAACTCGAGTAATAGGAATTGGTTGTCCTCCAGGCGTTGAAGGTTGCATTGCAGGAGACTCAGCTCCTGAATTCGTCGACTCCTCTACAAAGCTGACCTCGTCAGGTTCAGCATCACTCTTTCGCATGTTGCAGGCATCTGTCCCGGGCACCTCGCCATGGCTAGGCTCATGGTCGACTTTCTCGACACGGGTCGTTGGCACGACGGGGGAGACACCTCCAGAATTGTCGACACTAGATTGAGCATCTGAGAAGTGATCGTCTGAGTCTGATGATTCTGCATGAGTGGTTCAGTAAGTATATAGACTGTTAAGGAGCATTGTAACCAATGGATTGTAAAGTTACCTAGGTCGTGTGCTGGATGTCCCTCCGCCATGATTGGGGAAAGCGCTCGAGGACGGTTGGGGAGCTGAGGACAAGTAAGAGAAGAAGAACTGGCAAAAATTGAGGCCCCAGAGAGATTGCTTCCCAGCAGAACCTAAAAGCAGAGCGGCAGGTCACTATGTGTATGTTAACTGCCAGTGCAAGGGTGACGTTCCTCTCCTGATCATGTCCCTCGCTAACGAGTATGCGCGGGTGTTTGATCCAATAGCAAAATGTAAATATTTATCGAGACAGTAAGGCAGAGTAAAGTCAAAAGTCCCATACGCGCGCCGCCTTTCATTCTAGAATGGCATCCAGATCGCAACCAACGCAAAAGGCATAAATATCGACAATTCACACGTGTCGCCTGATGCGCCGCATCTGATTCGGCTTCACTCCTTTGCTTCTTCGTGCTTGCAGGAGGTAGAACCCACCATCTCCCCATTCGAACTCGCGACCTCCATCTGCTTCCTCCCTCCTCCTACACAATCACTCTCCGCCAGACACAATGTCGGCACAGTTCAACTTTGGCTCTGCCGGCGGCAGTGGTGCTTCGAATCCATTTGGCTCCTCATCGAACACTGGCAATGCCACCCCTAGCACCTCCGCGCCCTCAACAGCAACAACCAAGGCGCCGACGAGCCTCTTTGGCGGCACACCTACAACGGGCGCGAGCCCCTTTGGAGGCTTGACGGCCGGAAGCAATCAGACAACCTCGATATTTGGAGGTGGAAATACGACATCAAGCTCTGGCACTTCAGCGCCACTCTTTGGAGCAGCCAGCAGCACGGGTAATGCTCCAGCGGGAGGCCTCTTTGGTTCAAAGCCGTCTCCAACTACAACATCTTCGGGTACTACTGGAGGTCTTTTTGGCACGGCAAATACGACCACTCCTAGCTTTGGGGGTTTGTTCGGGCAGAAGAAGGATGAGGGTACCAGCGGCGAGAATAAGACTGCAACCTCCACATCTGCTCCAGCTGGATCAGTGACTCCAGCACCAAGTAAAACCTTCAATTTCGCCTCAACCACTCCAGCTGGACCACCCCCGACAGATAACCAAGCATCTAAGGCTCCTACGAGTAACCTATTTGGCAATCTCGGTCAATCATCAGGTGGACTCTTTGGTGCTCCAAAGACTGGAGATTCGTCACAACCAAAAGCTGGCTCTCTCTTTTCAGGCACTACCAGCTCGAGCACACCACTCTTTGGTTCAAAACCTGCTTCTACTAATTTATTTGGCAGCACACCTACTTCGGGTGCAGCCAGTTCCGGCGCAAGTGCAGCATCATCTACAGCTACGGCTGCGGCTCCGCAAGCATCAAAGCCGTTATTTGGGTTTTCCAGCGCCACTTCAACTGCACCAGCTTCCCAGGCTTCGTCGTCTACTGCGGCGCCCGCAGCGAGCACAGGGGGCCTCTTTGGCGGGGCCGCGAAGACGACCCCAGCCTCGTCCGCGCCAGCACCAGCATCTAACCTGTTTTCAGGTCTATCAGGAGGTAGCACTACAACTGCAGCTCCAAGCACCAGTACATCTGCTCCAGGCTCAACGCCCGGCTTGTTCAATCTCGGGACCCCATCTTCAACTGCCGCGAGTACTGCAGCCCCAGCCAGCACCGCACCAGCAGCAGCAACATCAAGTTTGTTTGGAGCAGCCAAACCAGCAGCGAGTTCAACCAGTCAACCGCCATCCACAACAGCAACATCAAACCTGTTTGGGGCCAAACCAGCAGCGAGTTCAAGCGCTCAGCCCTCATCCACAACTGCAACAGCTACAACAGCTGCAACAGCTGCAACCGCGGCCCCTACTACAACAGCAGCAGCTGGCTCTACAGGCACTGCAGCACAGTCTAGTGCACAGCCATTAGGGGCTTCGACCGCGGGGCCCGCGCCTCAGCTGTCACGTCTCAAGAACAAGACAATGGATGAGATTATCACTCGATGGGCATCTGACTTGCTCAAGTATCAGAAAGAATTCCAGGACCAGGCGGCAAAGGTAGCAACTTGGGATCGTCTGTTGGTTGAAAATGGAGAGAAAATCCAAAAGTTGTACTCAAGCACGTACGAGGCCGAGCGGGCCAGCACGGAAGTGGAGCGACAGCTTGCTGCTGTTGAGAGTCAACAGGCCGAGCTCACCTCTTGGCTTGATCGCTACGAGGCAGAAGTAGACGAGATGTTTACACGACAAGTAGGTCAAGGCGAGAGTCTGCAAGGCCCAGATCAAGAGCGAGAGAGAACATACAAGCTTGCCGAAAAGTTGACGGACCGGTTGGACGAGATGGGCAAGAACATCACGAGCATGATCGAAGCTATCAACGAGGCATCTTCAAACCTGAGCAAGAGTAGCAAGGCTGATGATCCGGTGAGTTTTGGCGTAATCAAAAATTCCGACGTTTTTTGCTAACTCGACCCCCCAGCTGTCTCATATCGTTCGGGTCTTGAACTCGCATCTTATGCAACTCCAGTGGATTGACCAGAATGCAGAGTTGCTGCAGCAAAAGCTGACGGCTGCTCAAAAACTTGGACAGAGCGTTGGCGCGAATGGATATGGTGGCCAAGAGACTGATAGTGCGGAAGCATTCTACCGGTCTTATATGGGCAGAAGATAGGAAGGGAAGCGCCGTTGGGTGCATAATATTTCAAGTTGGCATTGCGGGAAGTGTGGTATCTTGAGGTTCAAGATCTGAGAAGAGTTGCCTATGTCCGTCATGAGATTCCGAGAGAAGGCTGAAGGGATGTTTCCAGATTTTGCACCATACACCAAAAGAAAAGTGTAACCAATGTACGATAGTAAAAGATACGAGGTGCGAAGCCGAACGCCTCTTATGTAGGTATGATTTGCGAACTGCAATGTGGAGTTTTCTTTCCCAGTACAATATACAATTGACCCTTGTTATACAATCGACCTCGTTGACTACCCTTGCCATCCATTCATTCAACGCCTCCTCAACTCGTTTAACTATACAGGCAGAGGCATTCAGCATTGCCAAGAGCAGACGAGCTTTTCCATCACGCCATGTATATCATGCCTAGTTCTGCTCGCCCCCTTGTGATTTCGAGAGTTCATCACTGCAGGAGATACATTGTCAGTAATGGCAGATCCGAGGTGAAATGGACTGATCTCACATGTGGTCCTCGAGCTGCTTGAGGTGCTGGTGCTGCTCAGCCAGCTTCTTCTTGAGCTCCAAAAGCTGTTGTATCAAGGAAAGTCAGCAGGGCAAGCTCCGCATGCTGGAGAGAAATATATTCTCCTTGGGAGTACGACTGACCTTCTCCTGCTCACGCACGCGGATGTTGTAGTCCTCGTTGGCCTTCTCGCGCTTCGAGAAAGCGTCACTGGAAAGAGCAGCAGGATGGTTAGCTTTGAAAAACACTGGCTGTTCTGCAGGAGTGGCGTGACTTTGACTTACGCTTGGGCGGTTGGCTTGGGAGCTCCAGTATCGCCGGCAGCCATGACTCTGGAGGTGGTGGTGAAGGCAGCACGAGAGTTGACGGATGAGAGAGCTGGGCGGACAGCTTTGACGATAGATTGGCGGAGCATGTTTGCCTGGATGGTGGTGAAGAAGGAGAAGTAGAAGTGTTTGAAAGAGTGAGGTGAGGGGAATGGAAAGATGAGGAACGGGACTGGGGGCCTTATCAAGGATTTAAGGGCTGTGTGGGATTGGGTCTTCTTGGCTGAGGGGAAATGTACCTGTACGATGGTCAGGGAACTTGGAAGCTATGGCGTATGTCGTAAATACCTTGCCTAAGATAGCTCAGTGTGGGGCGCCTGAGGCAGAAAGGCTTCTGCGGGAATAGTCATACCTCAGGCTGTCAGGCATAAAGGAATAAGTCTCCATGCCTCAGGCACTATTGTACGCCCCCCCTTTGACCAATCCATCCAGGAGAGACAATGACAGGAAATCGGGTGACAGGCGGTCAGATGACAGGTGGTCAGATGACTGACGCTAGAGACAGTGGAGGGCCAGAACCTCCGCGTCAGCAGAAAGTGAGAAGAAGAGCAAAGACATGCAGATTCATATAACTCTCACGAGGATATAAGCTTATCTGAGTTCTTTCTTCTTGAAAGACCAGCGCTCTTAGCACGACGGCAGTTCTCCTAAGCGCGTGAACCTACCGACGGTATTGTCTCTGTTGTATACGGAGTATCGGTACCTAGGTACCTAAGGTTCACAGCTTCACACTACGGAGTGGATTAGTCATCAAAGTGATTTATGCTCATTCACCGCATTAAGATAGGCAGAGGGAGAATGCGGGAGACATACGGTGTTAAGGAGGTCTTTCGTGTATTAGAAAGCATGGGGATTTACATATCCACCATCTTACCTATCCAGGTATCCAGGGATCCGGTATATACAGTGTATAAATATTCATATTCTCTCCATCAGACGGTTGTCGGCCGCAGGAATCACGCTCCCATTTGATACGCTCGTGTTTGATATTTGATAACACACGGCTCCAGTAGTACCTGAGCAAGGATAACTTCCTAGCTCTGTCCTCGGGGTAATAAAAGGGGAAAAAAAATCAGAAAAAGAAAGAAAAAGAAAATAACAGAAAAGAAATTAGCATATCCCTCCTGACTTTCAATATATTCATATTCATATAATATATATAATATATTATCCCCCGTTGGTGGTTGGTGGTTGGCTGATCGCTTCCCTTCGCTAGCGTTTAATAAAACGACACTACAGGAGTAATGTAGAAAGGCCGCTTTCGATCCCGCAACAAACAACAAACCTCCTCCATCTTCTTCAAACCATCCCCTCACCACCATCCGCCGCACACTACTCTAGTCCACCCCGCGATCCTTTGCGCCCTTATCCTCTCTCATTCTATCGAGCATCCAGCCCGCTCTTTACCCTATCCTCCCAGCCAGAAATCTCCCTTGTCAGCCAGGTAAGGGACACGCCCGCTCCTATTTCGTCATTTGCTGCCTTCACCCTCCGTGTCTGGCCCCTCCCCGCTACTGCCATCCATTGCCCAGCGCCGTCCCCTCTCTTGCAGAAGCATCAGACTTGGTTCAACAGCACGCGCCGCCGTGGTGTCGTCCGGCGCATTGTCGCTGCGCTGCTTCTACCCCTTTGCGGCGCCCTCCCCCCCCCCCCCAACCCGCAATCAAAGAGATCCGCGCTCACCCACATTCACTGTTGAGGGCGGAGCGATCTCTTCATCCTTTCCTGTCACGCACGCGTACACGTCCACACTCTACAGCTTACTGACATTGCATTCTCTACAGATCCCCCCCGACAGCCGCAACCATGGGTTACGAAGACTCTGTGTACCTCGCCAAGCTCGCGGAGCAGGCTGAGCGATATGAAGGTTAACATCCTGAGAAACCAATGCCTCGAAATATCATGCTGATCTGTTCCCTTCCAGAAATGGTTGAGAACATGAAGTCCGTTGCTTCTGAGGACCAAGAGCTGTCCGTCGAGGAGCGAAATCTACTCTCTGTCGCCTACAAGAACGTGATTGGTGCTCGCCGTGCCTCATGGAGAATCGTCACCTCAATCGAGCAGAAGGAGGAGTCGAAGGGAAACACAGCTCAAGTTGCCTTGATCAAGGAGTACCGCCAAAAGATCGAGGCTGAGTTGGCCAAGATCTGTGAGGATATCCTCGAGGTTCTTGACAAGCACTTGATCCCCTCTGCCAAGAGCGGAGAGTCCAAGGTCTTCTACCACAAGATGTTTGTTTTGGCTCTGTTCACTAGAACCTTTCAATGACTAACAGTGTTGCAGGAAGGGAGACTACCACCGTTACCTTGCTGAGTTCGCAGTTGGCGAAAGACGAAAGGAGTCTGCCGACAAGTCCCTCGAGGCGTACAAGAACGCGACCGAGGTTGCCCAGACCGATCTTGCCCCAACCCACCCCATCCGCCTTGGTCTTGCTCTCAACTTCTCCGTCTTCTACTACGAGATCTTGAACTCGCCCGACCAGGCATGCCACCTTGCCAAGCAAGCCTTTGACGATGCCATTGCTGGTAAGCAACAATCTTGTCGACAGATCTACAAAAGTCGCATTTAACTAACATAACGTTCTACAGAGCTTGATACCCTCAGCGAGGAGAGCTACAAGGACTCCACACTCATCATGCAACTCCTGAGAGACAACTTGGTAAGAATCTCTTTGCACTTGCGACCTGCGTTCTCTTGCTAACAAAAACCCCCTTTTCTAGACCCTCTGGACTTCATCAGAGGCCGAGCAAACTGCCGCCGAGCCCAGCGCCCCGGCCGAGACAAAGGAGCCCGAGGCAGCTGCGCCAGCAGAGCCCAAGCCTGACGCTGAATAGATGATTAGTTCTGGCGTTGTTGTTTGGTCCTCCGGGTATGAGCCAAAGGGGGCTACGATGGGATATTGCATGTTTTGCGGGTGAGGTAAAGGTCGGGCGAGAATCGAGGAGCCTTCCTTGGAGGTCTATTCGCAACTTGCTTGCTTCTTAGACTCTAATGCACATCAGACTGTACTTGCCTCTCTCCTCTCTCTCCTTGTTCCCCCCTTCCTCCTCCGCGATATCTCCTCGATGCACTCTCTAGCCAGCACCAAGCCTCCTTTTCCCCCTTTGCGCGCGCGTATCAATCACACACACACTTCTTGCTTTGTCTATCGTCATGATTGATTGATTGATACCTCTCTCCCTCCTCCCTACCTACCTACCTCCCTACCTACTAGTATACTACTCTACCTACCTACTTCACATACCCTTACATCACATCCCTAGTTTCCGTTTCCCGCGTACATCATTTTTCTCACCTCACTGGCTCCCTCTTGTCTCTCTGTCTTCTCTCTCTCCCTGCCTCTCAAAACTAGACCAGCTGAGCCAAAAAGAAGAAGAAAAATTTAAATTAAATATTACAAAAAAAAAAGAAAAAGCAAGTAAATTCATAAAAAATAATACTAAAGGCAAGAAAGAGCTCTCTTGCTCTTGCTAATTATCTGAGCAGACAGAGTCAAGCAAAGCCCTTGCAGAAAATCAAATCACAACGTCACTCACTGGGAAGACAAGCACAAGCCAGATCCTCTTATTTTTTGATTAAGTTTTTGTTTTGATGATTTCCTGAACGCGATTTCTCTCTTCTACTTTATCTTCTATGCGATGATGCTTGATCGTGATTCATCCATCATAAAAAAGAAAAGTTGTCATCAATCCAGCTATCGAAAGAGGCATGAAAGACGAATCCCCGTGCTATCCACACAAATACAAAAATAAACACAGCAATAGCCCGTCCAATTCACCCACCCAACCATCCAAGCAAACATACCGCAAAGCAACAAGAACCAAAGCACGTGATACTCAACAGAACAACACCACAAAATTAAAAAGCCACCAGTAAACTCCACGTAGCCATATCCCTCCTAGGTCACACGTATGACGAACGCCGGGTCTTATGCAAGCACAAAAGGTACAGCATGTCGAATCACCTCTCCTGCCTCTACACCCCCGAGATCTTGCGGGAAGAAGAGAGACTGATGCTCCCAACCCGCCCACTTGTCTTCCGGACACCTGCCGTTTCTTTGCTCCGCAAGCCCTCTCCACCGCGCTTTGAGTTGCTGCGGACCTTGCCGAGCGTGCTGGATCCACTCCCAGATTTCATGGCGCCGGGGGTCTTGGGACGGGGAGTTGCACTTATATTTTCAATGTCGTTGCTACTGTCATTGTCAAAAGATGTATAGACAGTGGTCGTTTGGCTCGTAGACCGTTTCTCGCTTCGCGCTGGGGAACGGGAGGCTGTTTTGCGAGTCCGCATTCTCTGTCGCACTTCCTCTTCGCCTTCTGGATCATCAAAGGATGACCGATGGATGGTGATCATCTCTGTTTCATGTTGCATTATCTGCTCCTCTTCACTGGTGCTATAGCTGGAGATGCTACGTCCATAAGGATGGTGGCGGTCAGCGGCCCTGCTCGTCTTTCGTGGCTGGCCTGGGGTTGGAGCTGGTAAGCAGTCCTCTTGTACACCAATAGTGGTGCGCTGCTCGTTATCGACTTCTCCGAGTGGGGACCGTCTGCTGTGACTGCCGTTTGGAGGAGTGGCTACTTGGCCGTTGTTGACCAGATAAGGCTTGTGGGAGACTCTGGTAGGTGTGCTGGGTTGCATGCTCGCCAGCTTCTCCTTCATCCTCTTCTCGAACTGCTCCTCCAGCCACCACTCTCTAAATACCCCCTGGTTGAGATGAAGCCAATGCTGTTGAGGCCCAACGACCATCCCGGGCCGCATAAAGCGCATGTAGGCAATGATTTCATTAGCCGTGAACCCATAACGATATATTAGGTATGCTCCAATAAGACAACCAGTGCGGCCAAGTCCGGCCTTGCAGTGGACCGCGATCGCTCTCTTCTTCACTGTAATCATCTCGTGCGCTATAGTAATGAATTTGCGAACAACATGGAGCGCAGGACATGTGCCATCATCGAAGATCATATCGAGATGCTCTATGCCTAGGGCGGTGAAATATGATGGGCAATACAGTTCGGAATTCAGACGAACCACAAGACCGATATTCCGCTGTGCGAAGTGCTTCAGAACGTTCTTGAAGGGTGTCGGGAGTGTGGGGTGAGCATCGACGGCAGCCAGTGTGGAAGGCAACGCGGCGTACAGAGGGGATGAGGGTGGGATTGGAGCAACGGGAGAATGCTGAGGTGACGCAAATGCCAGAAAATCCGGAGTCAACCAATTGAAATCTCCCTGGTCCACGCGTTCATATCTCTCATATTCCTCGAGGTCGAATTGTGGCAGAGCGCAGAAGCCCTGTTCTTTGGCGCGCCAGACGCCATAGACGACATCCTGGACGGTGATTCCATAGTCCGCTTGACTATATCCCGCATCACGGAAAGGCATGAGGGGTGGGTCGGCCTGCGCGATTGGCGCAAGAGCAAGATGGGGTGCCCATGATTGGATGAGAACCATATAGCTTGCGAGGAGACATGCTGCGTTGGCGCGACCTGGTTCATGGTGTTAGCAGATCCAAACAGCTATGTTTCAAAAGCGGTAAACTTACTCCGCGCATCGGCCTTGCTCCAAAAAACCACAGGCCTGTTCTTGTTTTCCGGCGCCCCGAGGATATCATGGAATTGTACAGCGAAGCGGTACAAGTGTCCGATGTGCAATGGCCCAAAATCATGGTGGAAAGCATTGTATAGCAAGGTATCGTCAATAGAGAAGTAGTACGGCGGGTTGCGATCCCTCTCCGACACCACCGCTGGGCCATCCGCAGCTCTCGCAGAGCGCTTGGTGGGAGACCGGCGAGTAGGTTGTTGATCGGGGTATGGAAAGAGGGTGTCGGGCGTCGGCGGGGTGGTGTAGGATGCTAAATACAATCGGTCTACGTATGTCAGCAGAGTACGCGGAAGAATTGGTATATGATATTCGTTGGAAGCGTCGCTTGCGTCGAGCCCACCGCCGTCTGGTCGAGAGGCGGCCGACCTGGCCATGGAGAGCCGATCCATTGACCGCATGCTAGCAGCAATGCATAATGATGCTGAGCTGTTGAAGTGATGATAGCCGGTGCCTTGAGCGTTGCGCGGCAGGGCGAAGAATATATGATGCCACTGATGTGTTGGTAGGAGAGGTTTGTTTACCTGGGATATACTCGATGATTTGCCCATATTTTACGGCAGGAGTCATCTTCGGCGTTCTTGCGTGGTATCTGGGACCGAGACAAGTCGTCGATGCCAATTCCTTCTCAGTGATGATATTATAAGGGTAATGGTGAGGTAATGCGAGCGGCTGGAGAGAGACTCTATGCGGCGGCAGTAACAATGGGCAGGGAGATGCGGTATCAGTATCAGTATCGGTATCGTTACGTGGACGAGGTTGAAAGGGAGGATAAACAATGCATAACCCTTCTCCGTGTGTTGCGTATAGATAATGGTCGACGACAGCGAGACGGACTGGAGAGGCGAGAAGAGAAGAGAAGAACTGGAGATGGAGATGCGATTCGGAAGACTATTAAGGACGCTGGAGAATGTTTTCGTCTCTGTCGCCAGCGTTGTGAGGGGATCGTGGATATTTGTGCTTTTTCTGGAAAGGGCTAGTGTGACCAGCGTGCAGACATCTGATTGGTCAACCGGGTCACCGTCCCAAACCATGTCTTTGCCATAGCAACCAGTCTCTCCTCTCACTCTCACTCTTCACCCCCACAACCAACGACGACAACGACGTCGATAATCCACTCCCGACTTTTCCTGTCTTCAAGGTCGAACCCCACTATCTCCAGCACCAACAATGGCTGCGCAGTCAGACCCCGAGTTTCCTTGCTCACTGTATGCCCTTCTCTCTCCCCCTCTCCCTCTTCTTCTTCTCTCCTTGGGAAAAAGGAAAAAGAAAAGAATACTAAACCGCACTCATCCCCAGAACGATCGACGTCCCCCTCCCCACCGCCCGTCTCGCCTCCGCCGCCCTCCAATCTCTGCGCGTCGACCAAGAACTCTCCCCTCTGGTGCGCCGCTCCTTCTCCACGATCCCGTCCCCTAATTCCCCCACCGCCTCATCATCATCATCATCATCCCCCGAAAACACGGTCCTGCGCACCGAGTACAAAGCGACCACGAACCGCATGCTGCGCGTCGCCGTCAACGGGTTCATGGAGAGTCTGAGTACCGTTTTAGGGGTCATGGAGGAGCTGGATGTTGATGTTTTGGGTCGCGACCAGTAGACGATTATCTCATTCATTCGCTGGGATTGGGATGAATGAATGATTATTTACGGATTTCCACTGGCAGCGCCTCGGGGGGCTTTGTTGGACCCGCCTAGTGCTCTCGATGTACATGAGTGATGAAGAGAGCTGCGCGGGATGGAAGCCAGAATAATGGGACGCGCATAGGACGAAGGGGATGTCGAGTCCTTCCCCGCCCCATCCTGGAATGCTGGGGTTCATAACATGGTACAAACCTCGCGGGCTGGCCGATGTCATAAGGAGAGAAGACCTCGCTCTCCTTATGAGGACCTCGGCTTGGTTAAAATATGCCCTGATGATACTGGCTTCCAGCGAGCATTATAGCAGAGCATATACCCCCGTAGGATGTACCACTGGCCCTCGTTTAGGCCAATCCAGAGGCGTGAGACTACCTTACCTGACTTTGTCAAGATAACAAGCAAACGGGGACCAGATAGAATCAAAAGTGTCGAAAAATAACTTTTTTAAATTCCTCGGCTGATATCGAGATTCTTTTTGACTCTTACCCAGCCCCATTTTAAAACAAGTCCTCAAATGTACATACATATTCCGTATATATTGCCCATCACGGAGAACCCCTCCTACCAGGATAACATAACATATACCTAAACACTCGCTGCTAGATAGATAGGATGTTACTAAACATGAACATAAATAACAACGACAACCGCAGAGGTAAAGTAAAGTAAGGTCAATATTTGTTTGGTGTACCGCCGACCAACCCTCCAATCCTCGAACTCCTTAGTAGCAAGGCCCTCTTTCCTTTCCCTCCCTCTTATAATATCCACCCGCCCATCCGCGTCTAGCCATCAGAAAAGCATAAGGTAGGTAAGGTAGCCAGGTATCACTCATTATATCACAGACTCCCGAACTCCGGGAGGGGATAAAAAAAAAAGGAAGAGGCACGCCGCATGTATAAAAAAAAGCCGTGAGAATCACCCCCCCTCTAGGTGCTGGTACTGGTGCTGGTGCTGGTGCTGGCGCTGGTTTTGGCCGCCAGCTGCTTTTCAGCTTCCTCGGCCCTCTTGTTCGCCTCGGCGAGATCTTTCTTTAGTTGCTTGATGTACTCGATGGCGTGCTCCACGGTACTCGCCTTGCTGTTTGCGCTCTGGGGGGTTTCTTTCGTGGTCCCGCCTTCGTGAGCCTCGCCGCCGTCACCGCTGCCGCTCTTCTCACCACCACTGTCCTTGCTCGAGGCGCGCGGTAGTAGGGTAGCGATCTCCTGCAGCGCGGAATTGATGCGATTCCTCCGACCCTGCTCTGCAATCTTGTGGGATGTGCGTTTTGATGTGAGGTTTGTCGAGAGCTCCGTGGGATATGAGACTCCAGGAAGATGTGTACCCTCAAGAATATTCTGATAATTTGATTTTGACGCTAGGAGAAGGGAGGCTGTATCCTCAGACACAGATCCACCCCCGGGAAGCAGTGGTTTTATACTCGGTGATATCCTGGGTAGGAGTGCGGGCGATGCGAGCACCGAGCTGCCGGATCGCTTCTTGGAGCCGCGAGGAGCGAGTTGGGGCGTCTTGCGGGACGACCCATTTGCTCCATTCATCGGGTCGATCTGGGGGCTTTGGCTCGCCGATATCGACATTCTGGGCCGAGCGAAGGCAGGGGGAGGTAAGGGTTGGAGCCCGGGGGTTTTGGCACCTGCTGCGCTCAAGGTGGGAGTGACCTGGCCATCCGACTGTGACTCCATCCGGGAGGTCGGGGGTCTGGTAGCATTCGCAGCTTCGGGTAATCTGAATCCTTCTATTGCCCGGTCGTCTATATCCATATCTTCGGTTGTTACCGGCTGGTTGGAAGCCGGTGATTGCGTGAGTCTCATAAGTGAAGCTGGGGTAGCTGGCGATCCAAGAGCCAAGCGTTCCGCTCTGGCATTCTTCTGTGCCTGGATATAGGGCGATCTCCCCGCGGATCCCGGCAGCGGAACCGGTGGCGGCGCCATATCTGACAGGTGTTCAGGAGATATTGAGCCATTCTCCGACTCTTCTGTGCTGGCTGTCGAGTGGGATGAACTGGTCGCTTTTGAATTGGCAACCTGAGCATTTGAGGGTTCCAGAATATCACCGAGAGCTTGGCTAGGGATGGCGGAACCGGAACTCTTCTTTCCCCCCTTGCGTGGTTTGCTAATTGGGGATTGCCGCACTGAGCGAGTACTGCGGGGCTTCTGCTGCAATGCCTTCCTGCTGGGCTTCCTCGAGAGAATCACAGAGCTTCCGGGCGCAGAGTGGCTGTCGAGGTTGAGGTCGATTGGCGAGTTCGTCGATCCGGAATGTCGCTGGTCATACGCCGAAGCCTGTTCATTCTGCGCATGTAGGGCCGGGGAGCTCAAAGGACTAAAGTACGCGCCTGGAACTGTATATTCGGGGATGTTGAAGTGTGCATCGAGAGGAGTCACAGCAGGCGATACGAGCGGGGTGAAGGCCATCTATCCCACCAGGTTAGCCAGTTCCGGATGAACCCCGCAGCTCCAATATTCGACTCACCTCCTGATCCTTTGCTTGCATCCGATACCTCTCATACATAGCTTGGTGCTGGGGATCCGACTGCGGGTAGAATTGGGAGTTGGAGCCGTGCAGTTCCATGCTGTTGGGAGTGGGCGGGATCATTCGGTTCTGGGCATAGTAATTCCGCTGCTGTTCCTGCATCTGCTGCTGCTGCTGTTGCTGCCTCCGCTGCTGCAAGTACTGTATCTGGGCATCCAACTCCACGATGCTCTCGCCCGAGGGTTCCCCGTCGATCGGGCCCGGGATGGTGGGGTGGCTCCCCGCCGTGGACATCGAAGGCATATGCTCGTGCATCGTGATATCGTGCCCCATTGCGCCATGCCCTTCATCCATCCGCGTACCGATCTGGTCCCCATCATTCTGGTGCATCAATTGCGATCCGTGGCCCTGCTGGTGGTTGTTGTAGTCCTGAAAATCGAATTGCAGACTGTCGCCGAGGTTACTCATCCCCATGTCGAGGAACTGCTGGAAGTCATCCTGCGACGCCACGGAGAGGGTCGGGTCCTGGCTATTCCACACGGCCGAAGAGTCCATCATGGCGGGAGGGGAGCTCGCAGGAAGCCCCGCGGGATTGTGTGCGACTCGCGGTGGTGGGAGCGTCGGGACGTTATATGTAGAATTTGGCGGGCCCCAAGATAAGGACGGTGCTGATAGTGACGATGACAATGGCGTAGGTCAGTCCATGCGGGAAGCGATGCAAATCTCGTCGCGGGGTTCAACACGAAGCACGGATACGGAGGGGCGGTGGGCGGTGGGCGATTGCGGGATTAAGGTGATTCCCATATGAGGGCGGAGAGCAAGACACGGATGGTACCAGCGAGAGGAGGCGAAGAAGGGCTCTCGCCGAAGAATTGACTGACTGACTGATTGATTGATTGACCGAGTAGTGGGTGGGAGAGAGAGAGAAGGTGAGGGGAGAAAATATCGACGGTGGTAGTCGAAGGCAAAGTTAGAATCAGAATTGTCCAGCCGGCTGGCCGTCCTGGCTAGGGATCCAAGGCCGGGGACCTCAGGGACGTCTTGGGTAAAGAGCGTACGGTCCGCACAGAGTAGCCAGTGCGTAGTGTTGGAACTTGGGTAACAAGTGTGTGGTCGTGTCGAGAGCGAGTGGGGAAAGGCAAAGCGGAGTTGGCGACGGCGAGATTCTTGTCACTAGGTAGATAGGTCCTTACTACTGTAATTCGACCCTTGATTCAAGGCTTTTGAGTTGCCGTGAGCTCGACTTTTGAAGCGTCAAGACTCGAGGCTCAAGACTCAAGAGACCTCTTCGATGGCCTGTCTATATTTTCGTGGCGTTGCTTCTTTCTTTTTTTCTTTCCCTGCCCTCAAGTTCTCAACCAACCAACCAACGATGGAGCGGCGAAGGACGGGAGGCTAATCCTGAGAGCGGACAAGACCGATGCGATGCTTCGAGATTCGAACATCCAGGACCGACCCAAAGTCCCACCACCGTCCCAGGTTGCGCCATGCTCCGTACATAGACCAGGCCCAGGAATACGGAGCGCACAGTAGTTACAGTCGTAGTCAGTTGTCAGTTAGTCCCCCAGCCAGGACGGGGGTTTTGCTGATCCGGCTGGCGAGGCGTGACCCTTTTGAGGTTGAGACGTGTGTAGGGGACGGACGGACTTGTGATTAACGGTACGTAAGGTATAAGAAGACGGCAAGAGGGTCAGCGGTGATTCTTCGCGTGGGATTGGTTTGTTTCTTTGCTTTATATTTCATTCTGTACCTATGATTCCAATGTTCTTCTACAGACCTTACCTCCAATATCTCTCTCTCCTCAGCAGAGAGCGCTCGAGACAGAGAAAGAAGCCATATACAACTCCTTCACCTTGAGCCCACAGTGCCGCAACAGAACCAACAAAATAAAAGTAAAAATAAAATCAAAACATATCCCAGCCATGAACACTCTCGCTACGAATCCTCCCTCTCTTTTCACTTTCCGCCCGCCTGCCCCGCCCCCCCTCCGTCAGTCAGTCAGTCAGTCCCTCCGTCCCTCCTCCCCCACCATGCGCTCAAGTCGGAGCTCCCTCATCAACCGACCACCCTCCCTCCCTCCTCCATAGAGATGAATCTTCCAGTATAAGTCATGCTCTACATTCACATATGTCTTTCCATCCCACAGCTCATGCAACAAGGGGACCTGGTATCAAAACCGTCTTCTACCCGAGTCCCGAGTGCTGTATGCGTGCATGCATTGCATACAACGTACATACATCTCCCGTCCCCCCCCCCTCCGGGCTCCCTCCCTCGCTGAGAAGCCATTCATTCATTCATTCCGTAGTCGTACAAGCCCTTCGCCCCGCCCGGAAAAGCAACAACCCATCCATCCATCCATCCATCCATCCAATCCATCCAATCCATCCACCGGGTCGGCAATCTCTCATCTACTATGTATAGCATTAGCAGGTAAGGTCACAGTCTCACAGACGAACTACACCAAAGGACCCCTCCCTTCTTAAAGTTAAAAAATCACGCAACCAATCAGCGGTCCCCGTCTCCCCACGCTGCCGCGATGTCGTTGCTCGCTGGCTGCCGGGCAGGCGGGGCGCCGCTCGCTTATTACTTTAGTTACAACTTACTCATCTTGTTAGAGGCTCTGCGATTTCGGGGTCTTCGCGCTTCGGGATCTCTCTCTCTTTGTCTGTTTCGCAGGGGGGAGGGGGGGAGAAGGGTTGGAGTTGGGGAGAAATAATAATGGGTACCTAGGTAGGTACAGAGTATGTACTTAGTTAGGTACCTAGGGACGGGAAAGAGTAATAATTATTATTATTTCTTTTATTATTCGAGAAGAGAAGAGAAGGGAAGGGAAGAGGACGCCGCCTCCGTGGGAAGGCGCCGTTTCATTTCAGAGGACCTGATCCAGATCCCGTACCTAGGTAGGCGGGATGGCCGTGAGTGGTGCTATTATGTACTGTACTTTACTCCACTAACATGACACCTGCACTTACACTTACGCGCAGTACGCGCAGTAACAGGGTTCGCAATGACAGCTTCCATATTACTAGAATCGGACGGCCGGTGCTGATGCCGCCTGTTCCTTCTTTCATGTAGGTAGGTAGTAATATACTATATTTTCATCATCGATATCTACCGACACTTTCTCTCTACCTACACGAGCCGCTACGCCTCCTTTCCTTTGCTGAGGTAACGACAGGAACCCATCCATGTTTAAACATTGCCATCCAGATCATGCTCGTCCCCGCCCAGAGAGGCAGGTTGGTATCAAGGAAGAAAGAAGTACAGAGGTATAGAGAAGAAAATGACACACACACACGCACATACACACGCAGTGCTACTCCATCATGCTGGCTCTCGCGACGAGATTCTCGGACCAGGAGAAAAGAAACAAATGAGAAGTGTCGAACCCTCAGAACGCCCAGTGGGAGGGGGTCGAAGCCAGCCAGTCCCCTTGTTGACCCGCTTCCACGGAATGCATATGCAATGAATGAACGGAAACCCACATGCGGAGTCGCGACGCTAATGCCAGAATTGGAAAGGAAATTAGAGAATGTCAGAACTTCATGTCTGACGCGGTCCAGCTCTTTATATGTATACAAGTCCGCCTGCATCCGGGAGTCGGCTCCCTAGTCCTTCGAGTTACCCCCCAGGTTCAGCCAGCTCATGTCCGATGATGTCGGCGCCGGTGGCCGTGTGGACGGAGGCACTGGGAAGGGCGTGTCCATTGGGAAATCGCCCGGGAAATCCCCAACTGTGCTTCGTGGCAGCGGCGTAGCATGCGCACCTTCAGTATGCGTATTGCTCGGGACCCGCTCATCCCAGCGCGGTCCATCCACAGGTGTCCAAGAAGTCTGTTCGTGAACGCTCTCGGGCACGCCGCTGGAATAGGCATCTCGTTGGTCATCGTCCCCGTAGGAAGAATGTGAAATCACTGAGTCGGATCTTTCGATTTGGCCCGACATTGCGCTCCTCAGGGGGAATTTCCTTGAAGTATGCGCCATTGTCGGACTCCCTGTTACCACCCTATTAAGGTTCAGCTCAGGCTGTCCCGGGATTCTCAATGGTGGCACGGTTGCCGATGTTTGCGTGAGCTGACTTGGGTGCCGCTGTTCGGAATATAGCGAACCCGAATCTCTATCTGATCCCTCATTATAGGTGGTCCGTTTCGAACCAAACCCGAGAATATTCATCGTGCTTACACTACCGGACCAGTACCTATCCCATCCCGAGCTCGTTCGCCTACTCCCGCCACGTCCGCCTCTACTATAGCGGGGTCTTGGGGGAGGCAGGTCTCGATCCGGTGTGCTTTGATCCTCCACCACGACAGAAGGAGTTGCCTTCATGTCACCAGCCGGCAATGGCAAGCCACCGAAAGATCTCTCTTGCAGTATGGGCTTGCTAATCTCCGCCTTGTACTTGCTATTAAACTGACTGCTCGCTTCGGAGCCATCCCCCTTATCATTGCCCCTCTTATGGCCTGCCACCCGGCCCATCAATATCGACATTGAGCTGTACGAGCCTTGTGATGTTTGCGGCGCGTGACCCAGAAATTGTCGACCAGAAATCATCTGCGGGAGTCCTCGATCCGCAAATTCTAAGCTATCCTTCTCATCACTGGGGATGCCGCTCGCACGTCGCAGGTGGCCAGCCTCCGAGAACTGCTTCCGTCTTCGTCGTACCCGGAGGATTAACACGGCCAACAGGAGTATGAATGCCGCACCAATGATCGATACAAGGACAGCCACCAGAATTTTCGTGGGGAAGTGGTGAGGTGCGGCGCCGGCGGCACTTTGGCTCGGCGAAGCAACCTTCGAAGCAGTCGAGGCTGACGATGTCGTGGCCGTATTCAACCCATGGTGTGTTGAAGATTCCGATACCAGTACTGCCGTGGCATTCACCCAACGATTCTCCCTAGCCTGAAACATGCACAGTACATCTTGTGGATTCCCACCAGAGATCACCACGAGCCCGTTCTCGCCTTCGGCGAGCGAGGAAGACGTTCTTGTGCTTGTGGGTACTAAAGTACCATTATAAGCTGGCCAGTCACCGAGCGTCAAATCTCTTTCCACTCGGTTCGATCTCTCCTCCCACTCTGGTGATCCCGTCAGCGCCCTCGAAACAATCGGTCTCGAGTTCATAATAGGATTTCCATTGCCGTCTACAAGCGCCGTTCGATTCACCACATTGGGGGAGACCTCCATGTCGAAAGTGTACAAGGTCTTGCTCGCATCGTCACCATGTATGAGAACAGATTTGATGGTCGAGGTGTTCTGTAAAGGCTCTGACAAGTTGGCGCCGGAGCTGAACCATGATGAGGCAGGATCGAACACCATAGCTTCTGAACCGTAGACCATCAGTGCCTGGCTGTCCGTCCATGGCATTAGCAAGGGCGAGATTGCAGGCGGTGCCATGGATCGAAAGGCCAACACCGTATATGGCTCGGACGCCTGGATAGTGAAGGTCTGAGTCGAGGGCTGCATGGTCCCATCCTGTGTACCAGCGTAGACCAAGATGGAATCGGATGCATTGAGATAGACGGCATTATGGTAGAGTCGGTTCTTCGTGATAAGGGGGTCGGAATTAATTGTCTCCCACTGTCCATCTGCAAAGGTGAAGCGCTGCAACCCAGTATAATTGGAATTCGCAGCGGAACCACCAACTATCCACAGAGCACTGGCGTCCGTATTATTCTGTGGTGTCGTCTTGACACATACGCCCCCTTTCACCGGGACTCCCATCGGCAACTCACCCCATTTCGCACCCTTCTGCAGGTCCAGAGATTGGAGGTATCCCTCGCTCGAATAACTAAAAAGGGTATTATTGTATAAGACGCTGCACGCGTCGTCCAGAGGGTGTTGTGGACTTGGCAGGTCCATGATCGTGTCGCGTGATTCCCGTTCGTAACTCCTATGATGTTCGAAGAGAGGGCGCAATTTATGAATCCGACTCGTCGTGGGTGGTCCGTCGTACAGCTCGTGTAGGTGCTTATTGCGACATAATTAGGGAGGGGACGATATATCGACGTAGTCGAAGACAGAAAACCTCAGCGCGCTTGCTCCCCGAAGTCGATGGGACTGCAAGCGCTCTCGCGATACTACTTTAAGATTTCCAACAAAGCGATAGATAGGAAGAAGAGAGGAAAGAAAGGGAGGCGACGAAGATGCGAGAAGGTCGTCGTCGTCGTCGCGGGGGCGGCGGGTCTGTGAGAAAGAAGGAGGAATGGATGGAAGAATGGGATGAAGTGGACGATGATTCGAAAGCACGACGCGGGCCGGTGAATGGACGAGGGCCGGCCCTGTACCAGGAGATCTACAGAACAGAACAAAGACGCCGATCGGGTTCCCGGCTGCCCAAAGTACAATGGTTCGGGGGAGTCGTTCGACAAATGAGTGTTGCAGGTCTGAGGCAGGAGGGAGAAGGGAGACTCAGAGTCAGGGAGCCGGGGGAGGCTGGGAAGGGGGGGAGAAGGGTCGTGCGGTAGAAGGTGAAGCGAGGGTTGTTTCTCCCACGAAGTCGAGGAGACGGGGATGGTCTCGGGGTCACCTAATAGGCAGGACGTAAGAATCATGAAGCGTGAGTTTGTAGAGGAGGGGGGGAAAAGAGAGGGAGAGAGATTGGTGAGGCATGGATAGGATAGGATGGATGGATATATACCTTGAGAGATGTTGGGTTAGATAGAGAGAGAGCTCGACAAAGAAGAGGGATCAGAAGACGAATGAATGCACACAATTGATTATCCACAGGCACAGCGTAAGGAAGAGGGATGTATCCAGGGAGGGATCAAGGAAAGAAGAGAGGTCGGTAAGGGATGTATGTAGGTGGGTAGGTTCGTAGATGTATATCCCCTTGAATAGATGATGATGTGATGTGTCTTGAGTCGTCGAGCGCAGGCGAGGAATCATTGATACTTGGAGTAAGAGACAGGATAGTCACAGATAGACAGACGTTTTCGCAGACCGCGCAAACTCTCGCTCTCCCTCGTGGGAAGCTAAAGTAACACCACCGCCACTCCAGAGGGCCAGCAGGAGTTGGCGCCGTTGATGGTGGTTGAATGGTTGAGTCGTGAGCTCTCGTCGTCGTGCCATCGTCGATTGATCATTGCCCGGCACAGCGAGACATCGGCTTCATCGCGTACCTGGCTCCTTGGCCCGATGCGGAAAGGCGTGTTGCGGTATGAAACGCACTGCCGGCCGCCCCCTTGCCGGTCCGTTTAGCGTCGTATATACCGCTACTCGGGCGGTATGTGGAGATATACCGTCTATATATAGCCGCATATGGCTAAGATAGGTAAGATATACCCCCCATATACGCATATTCACATCCCCCCGTTATACCGTGATTATATAGAAGATATCTCAGATTCTCAGGGGGAGCCACAGAGAGAATACCTTACACAGTCGCACTACCTTACATCCCATAACAGATCAATGAAGTGAAATGAAATCAGAACTCTGTATCTAACTCCTTATCTACGTACAAAAAGATAGGAGGCTGAGACCCTCGGCGCTCTCGGATAGTCATGCATCTGCGAGGCTCAGAAGTCAGAGACGTTGGCATTGTCAGTCAGTCTCGCTCTCTTGCGCCTCGCCCCGGCATTCTTGATGGTGGTCTACTACTACAGTACCGTTGCATGTTCTTCCGTAAGGTAAGATACCAATGTACATATCTACCTACCTACCTATACTATATTCTATCCTCATGCACCAGCATATCGCTTGCATCCCGCCGCAGAAAGTGGTTCCGGTCGTTCAAAACATCATCCTCGATTCCTCCCTCATGATCCGATCGAAGCCTCTACGCCGCCGTCTCGCATTGCTACTCTGCTATTTTCCTTTCCTTTCTATAATTCTTCTATTATCCCTTTATTTCCCCTCTTTGAGTCCTCTCTCTCTCTCTCTTTACTCCCCTCTCTCAGAAATCCCAGGCGCCGCATCTCCTCCTCAATCTCTTGAAGCGCGCGCACTGCACCCATCTCTCACCTCCCAACCCCGCCCACACCCCCCATTGGTCTAAACGCCCCGAGCGCATCACCACCCCTCTACGTATCGCATCTCTTTTTTCCAGATCACACCCACCCAACTCAAGTCCATGGAATCAATCAGACAGGGATAGCTTAATGATGACGAACGAGTTTTGTTTGTTCGTTTTCTTGCGCCGTGCCTTGGTTGGTTGGTTGGTTGCTTGTGGAGGGGCTGCGCAGGGCGGGGGTTCTTTGGTTATACAGTAAGATCAGTAAGGTACGTACCGAAGTACTGTAGTAAACGCGCACGCCTGTGTGGCTACTGCGGCGTTCCTGCGTGCTTGCTGTTGGGATTGGATACTCGAGAGACACATCCGCTGCGCGATTCCTGCTCGTCGCCGTTCCGTCCCCTCTGTATGGCGGACGGCTGGTTGAGTATTGCTCTCCTATAATGGGGGGGAGGAGACGAAATACTCAAGGAATTTGAGATGTTCAGCTCCCTCCCACGCTTTCCACTACGCACCTACACATCTCGACTACTATGGAACTGTGGATGAAAACACACTTGAATCAAGAAGGGTCCGGGTCCTCTTGAAGATCCAGAGCTATTACTTTAGGGTGAAGAGTCCCGGCGCTCTCAGAACCCCATCAATCAAAGCGCCTCCGTAACGCCATCCATCAGAACCCTCTGGTATCATGCCCTGCTCCATGCCCAATCCCATCCATACATAACCCATACCTTCCATGCTCCCCCGACGCAGTGAAAATGCAATCATCATTTTGAATCAATCACTCAAAGAACCATGAGGTCATCCGTCTGCTCGTCCCTGCTCAGCTCGTAGCTCAGCACCGTGTGGTCGTGGTAGTGCAGAATTAGCCTCCACCGTCTGGCGTTACGCCTCTCCTTCGCTCCAGTCATGTCGTCTGTCTGCACAGGCGACACGGCCATTCCCATCAGTGGCATGGGCGGGCGGATGCCCGCGTGCTGGTGCTCGTTGCTGGGGAGCATACGCTCGACTCGGAATGTGACCACTGGTCCATTGACTGAGAATTGGTCGTCGGGCCGCGTGAGGGTGAGGAGCGCTGCCCTGCCGGCCTGGGAGGCTACAACTACCAGAGACAGCGGTGGAATCGCAGCAAGGAGGTTGAGCCGTTCGAATGGCCGTAGCACTTCGTAGGGCGCAGGTGATGCGCTCTGTTTGACTAGTCTCTTGCAGATTGTCCTTGGCATGGACCTGGAGGGCGGGATCAATTCGGCATCGTATTGGTAGGTTCGAAGGATTGCTGAATTATCTGGGAGAAGAAACATGTCCTCATCTTCTGAGGCCGCCGTGGGAGTCATTGCTTCGAACTCTTCCGATCCGAGTTTGGTGTATTTTTCCAACAGATCCAAGAGGGTTTGTTTGTTTGTAGGCATTGGTACGAGGGCCGGATTCATGTTTACCAGGCATTGAAAGTAGTCCATATCACTCCCTCTGCGATCCATAACTGAGGACTCTGGAGAATCCGCATCGGGATCGCTGGGCCCTTCCATTAGCAGTCCCAGTACCGTTGTAACATCTTCTTCTGATTCCAAAATGCTGAGCGCCCTACCCTCTTCATCTGAAGAGTCCGTTACCATCTCCGAAGGTTCAGCATCCGTTTCCTCTGAAGTAGCGTCCCCCTCAGTTAGATTCCCAGGCTCATCTTCTTCCGGTATCAACGGGCTTGCTGTATTGGGAGTAGGTTGCCCAAGACGGACGGCAGGTGCTGAAGGGTCATAGTTGAACGAGTCCCGGAGTCGGATATGAGAAGTAACGTCGAAGATTCGCTCTGTTTCTCCCCCTATTTCAACAACAGACATGGCACTTTTCAGATCATGTACACCGAGTGCTTCATGCGGGGTCGACGTATGCTTGAAAGCATTCAGCGGCAAGACAAGGACTCCCCAGCCCCTGAAACGTTTGGTTAGTTAGCACTTTGTCAGAACAACTGTCCCATAGAAAGAAGATGGTGGTAGATTCTCACTCGAGTTGGATATGGGGCATTTGTTAGGGGAATAAACAAGACCTCGGATCGATCCCTCAAATAAATACAATACATCAAATAAACAACAGGCCATAGAGCACTTACATTGGCACATCTCCTCTGGCGCTCCTCGGGTGCACACCGGGTAGTCGTTGCCTTTTATCGCTATATATATCAAAGATCCAGAGATTTCCAAGTATATCTGCCGCAAGTATTGATCGTGCTTCGCCATCAACATCACTAGCAAAGCTTAAGCTTGGGACATTGTGGCCTTCAATGCCCAGTTTCATGACCCTTCTCCTATTAATTTTTCGGTATGAGGGCGATTCGGGCAGGTGTGGAAACTCCGGGAATGTACTGTCTTGGAGAAACTCTTCAACTCGTGGGTCACCATCGGTAGTATAAGCAGGCATGAAAACGGTCACTTCGCGAAGATTGGAGCTTGCGGCTATGAGGCGTGATTGCTCATGGATAGCCAGTCCCCAAGCGCTGGCCCCAACGTTCTCATGGAAGAGCCTATCCGGAATCAGGTACGCCCGTCAATGTCTTGAGCACGAAGACTCACGGCTTGATAATGCCAACCTCGCTTCCCATATCATTCCGTGATTCAATCGCGGTAACAATAGCATGCGTATAATATGCTATAACGTCGCCATCATCGAAGGCCATCAAGAGAATCTCGTGACTCCCCAGATCAGAAATGATCATGTTGTTCACACAGTGTGGGCGCGCTGGGTCGATGAACCCGCCGACTCGAATGGCTTTCTGGGATCTAGGAAGGGGTAGAACGAGGTCAGGTGTACCGGGCAGTGTTTGCTTGAGTCCGCGGGGTATCGTAACATGAATTTTATCTCGATAGGCGGCAAAATAAAACTATTTCATATGAGTATCCATTCTCCGAGCAACTAGAACACTCCTCACGTTGTATCTCTGAGATAGGGCGACTAGGTTCGATCGCCATTCTGCAATACCGGGTGGCTGTGATGAATCGGTCTCATCGTCGTCGTGGATGAACAGATCATCGTCTTGGACGGTCAAACCACTGAAGAAATCGTCCTGAGCGGGAAACTGTGGGGGTTAGAGTTGCTAAGGTTATTTGAAATGGAGAGTAGAAATGGAGACTATGTATTGCCAGGAACCTAAAGAAGATAGGTAACAAAAAACAGCGCTTTAAGATCTAAATGTGCCACACTGAGGGCAGATGTTTGTTCCATGAAGGGATTGCGGAGTAGAGAGGCTACTGAAGGGGAATGAATATAGGAGCCTTCTGCTCACCCGACGCCACCCTTGTTGGTTGGAGAAATTTGTCACATCAACTTCTTTAAATCCTGTTGACATCTTGGCCACCTTGGCGTAAACGAAGAGCTCTTTCTCGACATTGATGTTGGAGGTTCGATGTGTTGGTAGGACAGTCAGTCGCCTCATGATGGAGTTGTTCGTTTGGTGTATTCTATTAGCGCGAGGCTACAAGGCTGGCAACCCTGTCAGGCTGAGGCACCAACATTGATTTTTAAGGCGTCAATAGAGTGGGGGAAGCACCACAAAAGGCTCGAACATGATTTTTAGAATCTAACTAAAATACCTAACTTTAACGCGCCTTAAAACCACCATCAATCACGAAAACAACTAAAGCAACACACATCTTTGATGGTCTAACGGTCATGATTTCCGCTTGTCATCTAACTGGCAAAGCGCGGGAGATCGGGGTTCGACTCCCCGTCAGAGAGTCTTCTCTTGAGTTCACGACCCTAAGCATTGCTTAGATACCAACTCATTTTTTGCGTTTCTGCATTTTTTTTTTTTTTTTGCCCCCTTTTTGGGCCAGTTTCACTCGCTCCCACGGACATAAATTTATATCCTTACTCCTGAAAAATGATACAAGGACAGGGTTCAGTTTCTGTGTTGAAAACATACCTACATTTTCAAAAACTCATCGTACAGATCTTCGACAGTCAATAGGTACTGACCTATGGGAAGGTCTATAATGAGAGATCACTCAGCTGTCGATTGAAGCCATATAGAAAGTCTTATTTTCTATATAACGAGCGACTGGCGAGTGCTATTTATCTGCACGAAATAGTGATAAAATAGCAAACGCTTATCCGTGAATGTTCCAAGGTGGAATGATGGAGAGTAGCCGATGCCGATCACAAATATCGCATATCGGCCAACCCTATTGTAACGTGAGGCTCTATACCATCAGGCGCTGCTGGCATATCGCTTCTGATTGTCGGCAACGATCCCAGACTTCTGGGAAATTCTCTTCGACAGGTCTGAGAGCGAGCTGCTCTCCATGAATTCAAGGAGGCTCAGTCGAGCGTCGAACTCATGAGCAATCCAGTTTCTGATCTCCACAGCGACAAGCGAGTCGACACCATAATCAGAGACCTGCTTTGATGGAGTAATATCATCTTCATGCAGTGATAACACTGACTTGAATTTCGAGATGACACTGCTTTTGATAATCGCTTCGTCCTCATCTAGGGACTTGCTCTGGGCTAGCAATTGCGCTGCTGGAAGATCTGAGACTGCCCCTTTTTTGCTGGGATGTTTGCGGTCGCCAGTGATATTGCGAGGCCTGCAATGCGCAAATTTGCTATCAGCAAACCAAAAGGGCTCAAGAGGAGGCGGTAGAGTTAAGCAGGTGAAACATTCCTGATCCCAGCTCTGGTGGTATTTCCCAATGATAGTAGCCTCCAGAAGAGCGAAAAGTTGCGCTTCGTTCATTCCCTTGTTGCCCCAATTCTCCTCAATTATGTTCTGCCGTTCCTGCTGATCAGCAATATATCCAACACCAAGCACTGGTCCCAAATCAAGTGAGGCTCCTGGAAGTCCTTCTGAAGCTCTCAGTCTGGCAAGGGCTCCGAGGTACGTCGTGGTAGCTCCATAGGCTGCACTGCCTGGGATTCCAACAACACCGGTACCTGAAGAGATAATGATGAAGAATTTAAGACTGTTGTCTCGGAAACGGCGATGTAAGTTCCAAGCGCCCTCCACTTTAGGTCTGATCACCTCCATGTAGTCACGATGACACATTTTTTCAAAAAAGATTTTCTTGAAAGGCCAGTTAGTATAAAGTCTTGGTTCGTTCTGTATTCAAGAGCATTTACCTTGAGAACCATTGCAGTATGTATGACTCCCTTGATCGGAGGAAGAGATTTGGAGCTCTCGGTTAGAATACGCTCGAGATCGCTGTCATTCGCGACGTCTCCCCGGAACACGTCTATCCTGATTCCCCTTGGTAAAAGTTCAGAGACCAGCTCCTGGACTTTGCCAGATTTGAGGCCATTTCGAGAGATGAGAATGAAATTCTTGGCTCCTCTACGGGCCATCCAGCGGATGATACTTTGTCCAATGCCACCGCCGCCAGCAACAACATAGGATGCGTCAATATCAAAGACGGGGTTGGATTGTTCACTGGCTATTATCTAGATAATGTGTTAGTAAGCATAAACTTACCACTTGATTAGGATCTCACCTTAAGTTGCGTATTTGGTCTGAAGTCCACCACAACCTTACCCATTGTCTCGCCGCTACCTATTGCATTCAATGCTTCCTCTACCTGTGAGATGGAGTAAATGGTCACAGGCATCTTGACACTGAGTTTGCCGCAGGAGTACCAGTCGATACCTTGAGTTAAGATCCCGTTCAATAGTTTCGGTTTGTCTTCAATCAAGGCATCTAAATTCACCGCGGAGAAAGTTGCGTTGAAGCTGAAGGGCGACATAGACAGCCGGTTGTCATTTAAGACATCTCTCCTCCCGATGTCCACAAATCGCCCATTCTTTCCCAGGCATTTCAATGTCTCCTGCAGGCTTTCCCCGGACAGGGGGTTCAGTATGACATCCATTCCCCGTCCGTGCGTCAGTTTCAGGATATCGTGCCGGAAGGAAGTATCTCTGGAGGAGAAGATCCTCTCGGACGGAATCCCATAGAGATCTACTAGGGACTGCTTTTTGCTTGGAGAACCAACTGTGGCGTATATTTCAGCTCCAAGGAGCTTCGCGATAGCTATCGCTGTTTGACCAACTCCGCCAGCAGCCCGATGAATCAGTACACTTTCGCCGTGAGATAGATTTCCAACGGTGACGAGAGAATAATAGGCCAGGACAAAAGCCATTGGAATGGATGCTGCTGTAGTGAAATCCATCCCATCCGGGATTTTAGCTACGCTGTTTGCAGCACAACGGATGGATGAAGCATAGGTTCCTTTTGCTAACACACATACGCGGTCTCCGATGGTGAGATGTTTCACGCCGGGTCCAACTCCAGTAATGACACCGCTGCACTCGTATCCAAGCTCGCCAGGAATTTCACCCCGACTCATGAGGACATCATGGAAACTGATTCCACAAGCCTTCACTTGTATATCAACTTCATCATGCGCTGGAGCCATTGTCGGGTAACCCTGTTCAAGGAAAAGCACCCTTTTCGAGACACCTGGCTTTTCGAATATCATTTTTATTGGTCGACTTTCTTCAAACTCTTGAACCTTGGGTAAAAAGTTCTCGCGAATACTTGTCATAGTCTCGTTCATCAAGGTATCTGGGACGAATCGGGGTATCCTGACCACCCCATCACGCTCAGAAAACTCCAGCTCGACATCAGGTCCCATCGATCCCAGATGCGAGCCAAAAACATGTGAGAAGACTCGTGATATTGTTGCGGCAGCTTCTATATCAGAAAGTCGGTTTTCAGGGTCCATATCCAACACCACAAGTTTCAGGCCGCGCTGCTCATTGCGAATGCTTCTAACCAATCCCAGAGGCATACTGTTCTCTGGTTTGATCGAGCTTTCATTACCTCCAGTCACCACCCAGAGAATGTTTCTGGCCAGACAGAGTCTTTGTAGAGCGTTGTATTGTTTCTCATTGATAGTGCGAAGGAGAGGTGATCTGGCATCCTCCAGAAATATATACGTCCTCGAATCAGTCTGCTGAGAACAGGTGGACTCCAGTGAGATGATCTCAGGAACAAATCCCAAAGAATTTCGAAGACTGCTGCAGAGCTGTTCTGAGATCCCTTCAGAGCTATCGGATATGATTGTTAAGTTTTCAGGATGTCGTATGGTTCCCGTCCGCAAGGCAGAAGAGACTATCATGCAGCACTCATGCTCAGTAGTATCTGGGTAATCCTGAATCTCTGCCTCAATCCCAGTAAATCCTGTGGATCGGAGAACCTGATTCCAACTGGAGGGGGACAGTGTCGGCCCGCTTTGACGGAAGTCTTCTTCACCTAAGACAAGATAAGCATGAAAAGATAGCGGGAAGGAATCATGAACTACTCACCTAGCCACCACCCAGGAAGCGTAGCAAACGGGAAGACGGTGACAGTTGGCGAAGTGATCTCAAGGAGAAGTAACTTTCCACCAGGCTTAAGAAGTGTTCGGACATTTTTCATGGTTTTCTCCATGTTAACAGTAGCATGTAAGACATTTGCCGCGATGATCAAATCGTAACTTTCTTCGATGAACCCCTGACTTGAAGGTTTGGTTTCAATATCAAGCTTTCGAAAATTGATGTCATCTTGCCAGGTTGCGAGCTTTTTCTTTGCTTTCTCAAAGAAACCCGCACTGATGTCGGTAAAGTCATAACACCCGAAGGGAGGTGAGGAATTGGTTGAGCGACTCAACGCTTCCAAGATCGGCAGAGTGGCTCCTCCAGTTCCAGCACCGATTTCCAGAATCCTGAGGTTGGGTAACTGGTGAGATAGGTAGGTCGCAAAGGATGCCGCTGCAGGATATAGGCGACTCTTCAGAGGAAGTAATTCCTCGTAGTATCTCTCAAGTAGGTTGTCCACTAACATTAGACTCAAGGGCTCAACCTCTTCCCTAATGATACTGGGAAGATTCTCTCCAATCCTGCAAAGGAATTGCCCAACAGGTCCAGACGATTCGGCTTGCTGAACGTATTCAGGAACTTGCTCGTCAATATCATTCGATATCGACTCTTGTCCTAGTGATGGGCTGTCGGAGCGGGAGCACCCACCGACTTGATCTTGGATCCATTTGTACAGATTGGCGTGGCGTGTGCCTGAATATCCACCTTTCTCAGATATCCGTTTAAGAGCATTCCGAAGATAATAGCAAGAAACACGATTGAGTAGCCTAATTAGAGATCTCTCTTCAAACTCTATGGTTCTGGAGGAGGAAAACAGCGATCTATATTGTGATGGGGTAAGCATATCAAGAAATGGCATCCACTTCAGCTTGGAATATGGATCGATAATTTCGTTTGAGGTCGAAATTTGTGTCGAGAGGCCGATTAATCTCAATCCCTTGATAGAGATCAGCTCTTTGGCGGACTGTGTATCTAACTCGCGAGCAGAGATAGAGAAGACCGGCGTATCCACAGAGTCTTTTGTCAACATTCCCTGTAGGTCTAGTTGATGGCCTGCCGTCTGATCCATCGGGCAACTGATCTCTATTTCCTCGATGAAAGTGGGCATGTATAGCCTCTTCAGACCGGTTTGCCTCGTGGTCAAAAGAGGAAACATTAGCTGGAGGCATATATCCAAAAGAGCGGGATGGATCACATAGGTGCTTTCGTGTTCAAGGGGCATGGATTTCACTGTGTTCGGAATTGTCACTCGCGCCCGACCAAAATACCCAGAGGATTGGATATTTGTGAGCCCCTGGAATATTGGGCCGTATTGCACCCCAATCGATTTGAGCTCCTTATAAAGCTTGGAGTATTCCATGGAGTGGCCGAAAATGGCATTCCTGTCATGCGAGCATAGAGCTCCTTGACTTTCTTCAGTCAAACTAGTGCCTGTCTGATCTGAATATTTGACCTTGAGCTGAACGGAGACAAGCCCTCGGCAATGTTCCAAAAAGCCCATTTCTTCAGAGCAAGAGAATATGACAAATTCATTCCACTGTTTTGACTGGTCTTCCGGTCCCAGACGGTAGGGACGTAAAGATAGGAGAATCTCATGTCCGGTATTTTCGGATAATATAAGACGATTCTTGGCCGATACTTGTTGTAACTTGATTGACGATATTTCTCTTTCTTCACCGTCAACATTTGCATGTTGCAGTGCGGCCTCAATTGCCATTGATACGTAACCTGCCATCGGGAAAACCGTCTCAGACAGCAAACGATGATCACGGAGCCAAGGGACATCATTAAGCCTGAGTATATTTCTCCATCGAGGCTCCAGTGGATTGAAATCAGCGGCAGGGGAGCCTAGCAAGTCATTGTGAGGATTGCTCCTTGTTCTGTAAGATTTGCTAATCCGGGACTCATGCCAGTAATTTTCTAAGTGCATCCAAGGATATGGTGGAAGATTTGCCAGCACAGAGATCTGATTGAGTTGATTGGCATCACCCTCAAAGTTGACACACGTAATATCGAGAGGATAACCTTTCATGAGAATTCCTGCTGCTAGATCCTGGGTAGTTTGAATGGCATCTTTGCCTCGTACCAGAGACGGAACGTAAACGATGTTACCACTGAGTGAAGCACCTTTCAGTGTTTGCTCTATGGGACCTTTCAATGCTGAATGAGGACCAATTTCAATCAAGATCTCTATCCCACGTCTTTGTCCATCCACAGTTTCGGAGAAACTGCATAGAGCATGTAGAGCATCTGAGAAAAGAACGGGGCCTGTCATGTGGTTGGACCAAAATTCACCGTCTAAGCTGGGCCGCTCCAGTAGTCCTCCAATAGTCGAAGAGTAAAATTTTACGTTTGATGAGGCAGTGGTGATACTACCAAGAGAATCCTTGTACTGGTCCGCAACGAGCTCCATATGAGGCGAATGGTAGGCGACGTCGACCTTTAAAACCCGGTTGAAAAGGTTCCGTGTATTAAGTAATTCTTGGAGCTCGATGATAGCGTCATGGTCTCCAGAGACAGTAAAGCTTGAAGGACTGTTCTTGCAACCGATTACCGCTTTTCCAGCTTTCACTTGATGTAGCAGCTCTTGTAGCTCGGTTTCACCGCATCCGACGGCCATCATGGCCCCACGGCAGTCTGGATATGTGTTTCTCAATTTCATGGTGCTGATCCCGCGATGATACGCAATGGCAACACATGAATCAAGAGGTAGAATTCCGGCCGCGTAGGCCGCAGCAACTTCGCCGCTGGAATGACCCAGGACTGCCGACGGTTGCAGTGTCCATGAATGTAGCAAGTCAACTAAAGCAATCTGAACTGCACAACACACAGCCTGACTGATGTGAGGTAAACCTAGGCGAGAGTTCTCTGGGTCTCTTAATAACTCATCTTCACTTGGTCAGCAGATAGTAGTAGTGACTATGGGGTCTTGCGTTACCTCGTAGAGTCCATGTCGCTCCCAACTCCAAGAAGATGGTCTCCGACTTGATAATTGATGCTGCGAAAACCTGATGGCTGAGAAGCTCACGCCCCATCCCTTGCCATTGGGCACCTTGACCTGTAAAGATGAATCCTATCATGGGCTTCTTCGAGGACCGGATTGGCACGAGTGCATCACTTCTCAATTTCTCAACAAGTTCAGTGGAACTTATTGCAGTTGCTGCAACTTTCCAAGGAAACATAGACCGACGAGCACCTAATGTATAGGCAAGATTTTTCATCAAATCCTTGTTGAACATTATTGGATTCTTTCTCAAATACATGGCAAGCCGCGTCATTTGCTGTCGCGCGGAATACTCGGATTGTGCGGACAAGACATAGATATAACGGTTCCTAGACACGATACCAATTGGCTTCGGCGGACCTTGCTCGAGGATGACATGAGAGTTCGAGCCACCAAGGCCAAAGTTGTTGACCGAGGCTCTCCTGATTCCAGGTTTGGGCCAAGGCGTTATAGCAACAGGGACCTGAACATTGAAACCGTTAACAACATAATCGGGAATCATGATGCCAATTATCATCTCACCTGAAAGTTGCGATCTGCTAATTGCAGTTTCTCATTTGGACTGTCGAAGTTGGTATTTGGCAAAATCACCCCCCTTTCCAACATCATGGCTGTCTTGATAACAGAAATGAGCCCGCTGACTCCTTCGAGATGTCCGAAATTCGATTTGACCGATCCAAGATATGTGGGACCAGCTTTGAAGTCGCGCTTGCCAAATATTCTGCTAAGAGCTTCAACCTCGATAGGATCACCAGTAGCTGTTCCAGTACCATGGGCCTCAATATACCTAGTTTCCAATGGATCAAGTCCTCGTGCATTATACAAGGAACGGATCAGGCTTTCCTGGGAGGCCACACTAGGGACGGTAATACCTCCTACTGTCCTGCCATCTTGGTTGATGCCAGTGTTTTGAATGATCGCTCTGATGTTGTCACCGGCCTCAATAGCCGCACTGAGAGGTTTGAGTATGACACATGCAGCCCCTTCCCCACGGCCAAAGCCTCCAGTGGCTCGCTGGTCGAAAGGATACGATTTACCTTCATTCGACAACAACCTGACCCAATCAGTGAAAGCGTTCTGAGAATACAACAACCATAATACTTACTGAGATAATGAGTATGAGACTGTGGTGTCCGGGGAGATATTAAGGTGACAAGCAGACACGATAGCGTGTGAAGATTCCCCCGTGCGCAAGCTCTGACAGGCTAGATGTAGGGCAGTGATGCTGGAAGAACACGCAGTATCGATCGTGATGCTTGGGCCCTTAAGGTTGAAGAAGTAAGAGATTCGGTTGGCCAACATACAAGGATCGCAACCAGTGGCAGTGAATTTAGGAGTTGTCTCCGGATCTCGAAGCAGACTGTGGCCATAATCCGAGAAGGAGTTTGCAGAGTAAACAGCAGTATTCCCACCATCCAGGTGCTCCATGGGAACTCCCGCTGTTCAAGAGTGTTAGAAACTTTTCAGTAAGAAGGTAAATTCAGGTACCGTTTTCCATGGCCTCGTACGTCACTTCAAGAAGGAACCTCTGCTGAGGGTCCATAGCCTAAAGTTCATCAATAGCATCTATGGTCAGCAAAGGTTCGTAGAGACCATTTTTGCCCCGTTGCCATTAAGCAAACGAGAAGTTATTAAGGCTCATACCCACTGACCTTGGCTTCGGTGGAAGTGATATGGAAAAACGGTGCATCGAAGCAGGTGAGGTCATGCTTCAAGTAATGGCCCCCTTTGTTGTTGAACTTTGAAACATTATTATCTGGTAGTGAAGATTGTTTCTAGTTGGAAAGTTAACATACACGCCCTTCCCGCTCAGGATTCGGGTGCCAAAAAGCCGAGTTGTTGAAACGGCTTTTGTCATTTTCCGACCATGCACTGTTCCGAAGAGCACAGAAGTTCCAGAAGTCGCCAAGGGTTGAAATATCCGGAGGCAAGCGACATGCCATTCCAACTATGGCAATAGGCTCGACTTTGCATGTAGGAACGCGGAAATCAGAATTGAGGACACCACCGGTGGTGATGCCCTCCGTGGGAATCCTGAAAGTTTCTGTCATATTCGTTACTCTTTGAAGTGAGCCGGATGGGTAGGAAGCCAATGGAGCAGTTCTTTTCTCGGATCTTGGAATGTATAAGTACGAGGGTGAAAATGTGGCAATCTCGAGACAATATATAGTACGCGAAAGTCCATATCTACCTTGTTGAGCCAGAAAGAGACCAGAGACCACACACATAGATTGAGTTTGAGAGACCAGCATAAGTGATTCTGAGTGGTTTCCTTGATTGAACGAGTCTAACCTGATTTCGGAAAGAGAAGAACACTTCATTTCTGCATGTATGTTGAATACCGTGGAGCTAATCTAGCAATGGTTGCGCTGCATCTCTATCTCAAAGGATACTCGAGGTGGCGTGTTGAAGACTCCATCATATCAAGCTTGTTGCGCAAGCTCGACCAATTTGAGAAAGGATGCACTGACAGCGCGCAAAGCACTTGAGTCTTGCGGCATAAGATGGCCTGAGCCACCTTCAATCACCGTAGCCTGCCCCGAATCACAAAGGTTCAATAACGCCATGGCCCCATCAATGAGAGCGTCATCTGACCCTATGACATGGCATGTGGGAAAGTTGAAGATTTGGCCATACTCATCTGCCAGGATGACCTTCGACCCATCAGGGGCAAATGGCGCATATCCACTGAAGAAGAGAGCGCACTTGAAGCTTTGGGGTGCGTGAAGGCTGGATTCTTTGCGCAAACGATCGAGGATGAGAGTTGCACCAAAAGAAGCACCTTCGCAGTATCCAATCAACCCATCAAAGGGACCTTCCTCATCAATTTTAGAGTTTAGAAGCGCAAGTGATCTGCCAATGCTGCCAATGAACTCGGACCTTCCAGGTGTATCATTGCTGTAATAGAAATCAAGTGCATGGCGCCATATCATTTCTGCACTTTCACCCGATGGTGCCTTGGCGATACGCTCAATAACATCGTCCATAGTGATCCATTGAGGGTGCTCTATGAACCGCATATGCGGTCCCGATCCTGCGTAGGCCTCGAAATCGAAGGGAAGAGACGTGAGTTCATGAGGCGCTTGGACAAAATGAAATTTGATGTCATTCCCCGGCGGCAAACTCAAAATGAGGCCCTCTTAGTAGAATAAATGAGACCTGGTAAGATTATTGATTCTTTCTCCGCGTAGAAGGCCACCTACCAAGCTGATCTTGAAACACCTTGGTTGACATCGGTTAGCTCTCTTTCTGAGGCCATTCGTCTAGAAACGGAGCTTACCTGTGCATTGGTGCCAGCTCCATGGAGGCAAAGGAATTTCATTGTGAAGGTAGACGTAATTCTTGATGATTGCTGGCCCTGGGACCTGGGTTGCATGTTCTAGCATTCTACTCCTTCACTTACAGCACGCTATTTATATCTTGTGGCCGCCTGAATACCGAAGGTGCCTGCAAGAATGAATCCTAAAGGTACGTATAAGCATAACGTTTTTAGTGTCTTTAAATCTCTGTATATTACCAGGTCTTACGCTATAGCCTCCTGGTTAGCGGCCCCATGTTACGTTACAAAACGCATACATGTTCTGGCCCTCCTGATAGAGGGGTCTCGGTGTCTAGTTCTGAATTTCTTGTATCGTGGCTATACACAGATACAATATGTACGGTTCATTCAACCCTGATTGTAAATCTCCTTCCCTTTCCAAATTGACGCACAGGTATTAGCAGCTGTGCTCACTCTGCATCTGCTTCCAGATTGGGACCGGAAAGTGTTCGTCTTTGGCTTTGTGACCTCTGCTTGGTTTTGGGCACCCTGTATGGCATATAAATGCTGTTTTCTTTTGATACTGCATGAATCAGTGCATGGTGCCATGGATACTAGAGACAATTGGATTTCGATGAGAGTACAGCCCGTTGGATATCCTGTTGCTTCACAGCTGCACCCCAACCCAATGGTGAGTTTCTGGCGGCCATTCTAAATCCTAGCTCGTGAATCATATGCACCTTTTTCAACACGTTTTGCTCAGATGTAAAACATATCACAATACTACAAGCTACTTATCGATCAATTGACACGAATACACACGCCTAGCGTCTGCAGTCCAAATAAACTTGATATCTGATCATTCCCGGCACCTGACCGACGATGATGCTACACTTCCAAGGCGCTAGACTACGCACAGGCCTGTCGCTGTTACGTATTGTTTTTCGAACTGAAGAGGCTCCTTTATCCACATAATATGCTGGATTTGGACGTCTTTTTGCGCATTCAAACTGCCTAGATATAAAGGGACAAGAGATCAGTTCGATAAGTAACTTATATGAATTCGATTCCGAATATATGATTTGCCTTTGAGCATATATTACTTTAGAGATCTCCTCGTCCGTGGGGTAGGGTGATAACAGCTGCATGCAAGAGCGGGATGATTTTGCCAAAGGCCTGACACTAGTCTTTCAAGCAAGATAAACACGTCCAGATAAGTTCGGCTGCATGCACATTCCCGCTTGCGTGCTGATTCCCGCTGGGGCTGCATACACGGCTAACAAGCCTAATATTGCACCAATGAACACTGAACACCTTGTTCAGAGTTTTGGTGTGTTATTCCATGAGGAATTTCTTGCATAGGATGAGGCTCTTGAACATCGGCACTCCTGTAGCCGCGCCAAACGGACCATATCTCCACGGAAACTTTTCTCAAGCTGGAGCAAGTTGAGCTCCCGGCCGCCACGCGATCAAATAAATGAACGTCCTTCTTCACCCTTCTCTTCAACCCAATTTGGCTGGGTGCCGGAGTGTATGGCTGCTGGTGATGCTGATAGCCATCATCGTGAGTGGACTGGATGATTCGGTATTCGTTTTTTGTCGTAGAACCCTCGATCGTATGTGCGTGAAAGTCTGTAGTATAAATATGTTGTCATTATAAGCTACCTGATATAGGTAGGTACGTGAGGCGAGGTCACATGCTCGTCCTTACAATCCAGGCATTCCGAAGTTTTCCACCGCCAATTCCTGACCAAATCATCATAGTCATCCACGGGCTTGCTTCTGATGTCCAGTATTAGTATTAGCTAGAGCATTCTGCTCACCAGAATAGTTACTTACACTGGAATTGAAGATACAGGAGAGTCCGCTCTCCTTGTAGTTCTACATCGGTATGGCTTCCGATAGCAGCAACTATATTTTTCCAAAAGCAAGAAGTAGATACTCTGTGCTTTTCTACAAGCAGTCCAATATCTGTTTGTTCAGTGTAGTCAAACCCCTTATTATACCGAGTAAGAACGAAATCCTTCTCGTCACTGAGAGGTTGGCTCAGAGGCTCGCAAAGGAAGCAAAAGGGAATACAATTCTCTTATATTATTACCACTTTTTCTAATAAACATACCATTATATACTATAAGCTCACATTCATTCAAACACCGATATTCGCAGCTCCAGGACTCTCTCTCTCTTTTCTCTCTCCTTATCAGCCCACTCTTCTTATCATACCTAAGGTAGGGTGGTTATCAGTCCAGGTACCATTTCGGGACTTAGCGCCCGCACGGGAACTGATAAGGGAGCAGAAGTCCAGCCAGCCAGCCGCCTCCCAACTTCCCGGCAGATAAAACTAGATAAAATAAAATAAAATACTACCCCTTGGGGGGGATCTCCCTCTAAATTAGTAGGAGAGAGAGAGAGAGACCTTGTCCTTGATGACCCGCGGGACGGGAGAGAGCGTCTGGGGTGCATAGGAAGCTAGGTAGCTAATCGGGACGTGATGTCATGGTCATGCATGTATATTTTGACGTCGGGTCTTGGATCGTGGTGAGATGTGGAGTGTGGCCTGACACTAGGAGAGTTTGGAGAGACATTCTGGGGATCTAGGGAACTTGTCTTGGATGGACAATTGAAATGGTTTAGCCTTTTTGATGGAAGTATACATACATGTGAAACCGAATCGTTCAACTTGAATCCTCCGGGTGAAGTTCAAGGTGAGGTAAGGGAAGGCGGTGGTTGATAAATAGGCAGTTCTTAAATAAGGTAGGTAGCCAGGTAGACAGGTAAATGGGGTAAAGGAGGGTCCACGTTATGTGTAATGATGATAGATACAGTATATCGTTATATGTATAGGTACTTATAGATACATAGAACAAATAAGGGATATCTCTCATAACTTGCAAAAATCATGGCCATAGCCAATTTTGGATATCGCTCCCCAAACCCCAACAACTCCTTGCCTATCCAAACAAATCATCATTCGAAGTAAAAAAAAGCACCTTGCTATGCGCCGTTCGGGTCTTCAACCTTTTCCTTCAACTTGTCCTCCGCTGCAACACCGTGGCGATCACCCATCACCGTAGTATGAGCATTACCACCACTGCTGCTTGAATCTGGGGATGTCCCATGAATCATGTTGCTATGCTCCTGACTCCCGTGCTGGGGGCTAACAATGTGTTCCCCCGGCTCACCTGAATGTCCTTCAGTCGCAGGGAAGAAATTCTCGAATCCGCTGTTGTAGTTTCTCCTTATCTCCACATAGTCATAAGCAAACTCTCCAAGCTGATCGTCGTCCATTCCAAGGAGTTCGGCCTCTTCTGAAGCACGGAGGTGAAGTCCGGGGATGAAATTGATGACGTAAGCGAGAATCGCAGACACCACGAACGAGTAGCCCATGCACGCTAAAACGTACGCGATTTGGACATACAGTTGCCTGTAGTTGTGATTGATCCAGCCTCCGTTGATGACCCCTGTGCTGACCCCGTCCAGGCCAATAATGTAGTCGGCAGCAAAAAGAGCGTTGAAGATGAGGCCGACAACCCCAGCAATTCCTGTTAAATCCATCAGATTGGGGCACGAGATGATTGAAGTAGAGTTAGCTTACCGTGCTCTGCAAGCACATCCATACTGTCATCAATGCGGATCCAGAATTTTACTACGAACTTGTTAGTTTCGACAATCCATCAGGATAGGGAGAACATACTTTTAGTTGAAAAGTTAGCAATAATCCCAGTGACAATACCTAGGATCACGGATGCCCAGGGAGGAATAAAGCCTGATGCTGGGGTAGCTATTTAATTATCAAGTTAGCCTCAACGTCTCCCAGTTTAGAAAAGTCAGAACTCTCGAGGCGTGCTCCTTGAGTCGCAAGACAAGCTCCGAAAACAAGGATGCGAAAGAAGATACTCGGGGATACGGACCTGCAACAAGACCGGTGATACATCCGGAACACCAGCCGACCATACTCCATTTCCGGGCGAGTCTATAATCAAGCAGGCACCAAGTGATTGAGCCAAACATGGCAGTCAAGCAAGAATTCCAGCAAGCCATGACTGCACGAAGATTGGCACCAAAGGCCGAACCACCGTTGAATCCCAACCATCCGAACCAGAGCAGGACCGTGCCGAGGGTAATTAGAGAGACGTTGTGAGGTCTGAAGTTCAACATCATCTTCTCCTGACGCTTGCCGAGGACCATCGAATACGCAAGCGCCGAAAACCCGGATCCAATTTCGACGGGTCCACCTCCAGCGTAGTCCAGAACCCCGTATTTGTATGCCCACCCATTTACGTTCCATGCCCAGCATGCGAGGGGACAGTACACAATTGTTGCCCAGCAGAATATAAACACTAATGCGGGGATCAGACGGCCTCGTTCGGCGACCGCACCCATGACAATGGCACCCGTGGTAGCGCAGAATTGTAACTGGGATTGTCAGAAAGTGAAAAAAAAATGAGGAATCAGGCTGAGCAGGCAAAACTGACCTGGTAGAAGGAGTAGAGCAGTTCTGGGATGAGGGGGGAGCCGGGGGAAGGCGCGCCCAACACGCCTTTGAGACCAAAGCGACCCAGGTTTCCGATAAATCCATTCGTCGCAGAGGAGCTAAATGCCAAGGAATACCCCCAAAAATACCATTGGAAGACGATAATAGAGAAACTGCCCATGCAGGCCCAGATCATAGACAGCGCCGACTTCCTTCGGGCCAACCCCGAATACAAAAACCCCAGGCCCGGGATCATAATCAGAACCATACATGATGAAACGATGATATACGCTTGATCACCGGGATCGAACCACTGGTTGAGATTTTCGACGGCTGTTGTTCACGTATTAGCATCGCGTAGATGACGGCTTAAAAAAAGACGAAACGCGAAAAAATAATTTCCAACTTTAGAGAAGCAAATAAATGCTTCCTATGCAGGGTCCTTACCGGAATCGCCTCCAGTTTTGCCGGTGCCATTGTAGACAGTCGGTGCTCCAACATAGGCATAATTGGGACGGTAGGCCTCCGACATGGTCGAAAGTTGGCTCTTCCTCTCCGCTCAGCGACCTTCGCCTTCACAGGCGTACCGAGGGTTGGGGGGGCGAATGACGTCGTCTGAGATCGCAGGGTGGCCGAGGCGACAAAAAAAGAAAAGATATAAGGAGGGAGGGCCAGCGGCCAAGGACAACAATGCGATGCGCTTTTGGAGAAGAAAGGTGGGAATGAGAAGGAGGGATGAGAAAAAAGAGAGAGAGAATGGTTTTGTATAAGTATAAAGGATAGTTCACTCCGTGTCTGGCTAGCCCGAGTAGTTGATGGGAGAAGTCGGGGACTCGGGGGCCCTATGTGTCTGGCCCTTGAACCGGCTCTGCGTGGTAGTTCGAGCGTAGCTGGTCCACCCACGCGCGCCTTATTAATCGGGACGTATTAATAACGACAGTTACAGTGCCTCCTATGTATATCGTCCTATGCGCCGTCTCCTAAAGGCACGCTGCATAATCCGGACGCTGCTGGTCAGGTTGGAACGAGCGGTTCCCCGGGAGAGCTCGAAACACACTCACTGGAAGACGGGAAAAAAGAGGAGAATCGTATGAACAGGAAAAGCAAAGAAATGAAACCCCCCACATCCATTTCCCCTCGGCCAAGAACAGAGAGATAAAGAGAGAGAGAAAAGTTTGCACATCTCGCTCTGCAAAGCAATGCGACTGACGATCCAGCATCGAATGCTCCGTAATGCTCAACTTCTCAAGACTCATCAGCCTGACATGCAGCGGCACTGCAGCTAGAAGATACAGGGGGAAAGGCTTCCAGGGCGGCAGCGTGGCAGGGCCCCAACCAGGGGGTTTCTCTTCCAATCCGGACCTTAAACCTGCGCGGAGCCAGTAGCCGTTGCGCATCTCCCACGTCCCATAGGGCCGTATCAAGGGCTCCTTGGCCTCAGGTACGCCTCCTGTGGGGTACTTACTGCGAAAGGAAGAGTAATCAGTAATAACGAGGCAGAGAGTGCCAGGAAAGTCAAATAAGAGAACAGTAATGCAAACTAGTTGCGTAAAAGTCCTGTCCACGGGCTCTTTTCGAAGGTAAGGTTCAATGTTCATGGTCTATCTAGGGCTGATAAAGTACCTATATATCAACGAGGCCCGTACCTTTATCTCATCACTCCTCAACTCTTCTCTTCCGCGCTCTCCCCTCGCCGCCCCTGCATGTTCCTTCCCCCGCCGATGACCGGAGCCGCCTTTCGTCCGGGAATTGCTACAGCACAACGGGATGATCCCGTGGAATTCTCCCCGTAATTATGTGACGTACTTCCGTTAGGAGACTTTGGCATCTCCGATGAAAAGAATTCGTGGATGGCCGAATGTGGCGTAGCGTGTCCTTAGCCTTATCGTCGTCCAGCGCAGCCAATGAGAGCGGGCGGTGCATGACAAGAATCTTTGACAACTGCTGATAGCGATGTGGATCATTGTTGGGCCTCAGGCTCGAATCCATGTGCGCCGCCGCCACGGGCCACGGTGCCAAGGCTGCTCGGCTAAGTGCTCCGTAGAAGGATTGGAAGGATGTGGATCAGTCGATCAGGCAATAATCAGGCACCTCTCGGCTAGCCCGCTATATCGTTACGCCGTTACGGGCGCCCCGAGAGAAGCTTGTCTCTTCACGGAATAACATATCTCCATACCGAGTAGATCCTTAATCCTAGTGCTGTGTTTTGGTTCTCTGTCTTCTGTCTTTGTCCATATAACATTCATATCAGCAATGAAGACTTGCTTGACCTGACTCTCGATACGTCGTCCTCATACTCGCTGGCTCTGGCTGCTCCATTTGTCCCGGCCTCACCAAATCTACAAGAGACGGTGCTAACTGCTACTGAAGCCAGACTACCGCAGCTACCGCACAAGAAGATATACTGAAATGTGTCGAAGTCCTTCGTGAGGCCGTACCAGCTCTTCCAGTATGGACGAAGACTTCACGTGAATTGTGCGGCGAGCTGGCCATCGCTTCCCAGCCTCAAATCAGCATCAGTGTGCTATTGGGGTCACGTGCCTCAGACCCCGCTGCCCGAAGCTCTACATTCCGTACCAGTATGGGCAGGATAGGATAACCATCAATGATACGTGGATTATTTCTCAACAGATCCTGCAAAGTTGGATGGTTGTATCTCACTGTACTTGTACTCACGTCCTCATATCTGATTTGTACCGAAACGTGGAGGCGGGTACCGAGTGGGTACCCTTGGATATCGCCATTCACAAGTTTCCAGCATTCTACCCCACTTTGCGGAGAGGACGGAATAGCAACCGCCATCATTCAACTTCATTGCGAACTTACCTTCTAAGTTCCAACATCACATCCATAGCACGGGTTTTGTCCATCTTTTTGAAAGAAAGATATATATATTTCCACCCAAAGCCCCTACTACCCTATCTCTAGCTACGATCATGGCACCCTCAGCAACGACACTCATAGCTGAGTCTGAGGGCAATGCAAAACTTGGGGCTCTAGGCAAGACCGTCTCAGGCAAAAAGCTCAAGATCCGCTCCTATCCCAAGTTTGAGACTCTGGAAGAGGAGAGATTATACCGCAAGCAGCATCTTGCAGCTGCGTTTCGGGTGTACGCCGTTCCTCAGCAGGCCTCCTTGCTCTCCGACTTCCACTGAACTTTCCCCGCAGATTTGCAGATCGAGGTTTCGATGAGGGCGTTGCGGGTCACATCTCCGTCCGGGATCCCATCCTCACGGATCATTTCTGGCTCAACCCCCTCTCGCAACACTTCTCTCAAATCTGCGTCTCGGACCTTATCCTCGTAAACGAGGCCGGGGATGTGGTGATTGGAGATGAGCCCATCAACGCTGCGGCATTTGCAATTCATTCAGAAAGTGGGCACAAACCTACCTTACCTTACCTTACCTACCTACGACCGCATCCAGTTCCCTCTGTGATGATGCCAGGCAAAATTGACCATCCTATCTAGTTCACAAGGCACGCCCAGACGTCCACGCCGCGTGCCACGCGCACTCGGTCTACGGGAAAGCATTCTCGGTGTTTGGCCGCGAGCTAGACATGATCACGCAAGACGCTCTGCGCTTCTACAAATCGCACTCGGTGTACGACAATTTCGGAGGCATCGTGCTGGATCGCGAGGAGGGCATTCGGATCGCGAAGTGTCTGGGCAAGGGGAAGGCGTGCATCCTGCAGAATCACGGCCTGTTAACGGTCGGTCAGTCGGTTGACGAAGCGGCCTTCTGGTTCATCAGTCTTGATAAGACGTGCCATGCGCAGCTATTGGTAGATGCCGCCAGTGCGGGAAGTGGCCATAAGAAGATTCTCATCAAGGATGAGGAGGCTGCGTTCACTTATGAGCAGGTCGGAGGTATGTTATTTTTTTTCCCCTTTTTGTCTACTAGGCCATGCATGATGCTGATGATTGATGTAGGACCGGAGAAGGGATGGTTAGCCTTCCAGGGGTATTACGATGAACAGGTTGCCAAGACCAATGGAAGCTTCCTTAAATAAGTATCTGTAGACTATTTTTGAATTTGATAAAATCTTCAATGTCGATTTGTTTACTGCTTGTCGCGCATATCAATAACAGTGTATTCTCCGGGGCGGAGGGGGGGGTTTATCAAGACACTTCTTTCTCATCCCTCTCCCTCACTTCCGTAACCAGTATCCCATCGCACGTACCCCCCCTCCATTCCACCATTCCGCCTGATGGGTTGGTCTTAGATGAGATAAAATGGAATGGAATGGAATTATGGCTATGTGTTGGGAGGTTTTGATGAGGAGAAGGAAGGGAGGGAGGGAGGGAGGGAGGGAGGGGGGGAGGGGCGGATTTGAGACGAAACGTGTGTATGTATGTATGGGATGACTGGGGAGGGTTGGGGAGAGGGATGGACTTGTTCTGGTCAAGTAAGACTCATATGGGACTTTTTGGCCCTTCTCCTATCTAATAATACTTCTTCATGCAGCTTAATCCGACGTAAAAAAGATTGTGTCCATTCCTAGTTATGTATATACATATGTTGCCCGAATATATCTCCAAAGGGCTCAAATCAAAGATGCTCGCTCGCTCGCTTTAAAGCCTTCCACCCATACCCGCTCCAAATACAATGCAATTCATGAACCTATACCCAATTTCTACAAACCGCTATTCCCGCCAAAAGAAATCATGAAGCCTCGATGATCCCGATCAGTAGGCGATGCCTTTATAATCACCAGGCGAATAGGCAGGAGGATCCGATACCGCCAGCCCGTGCGGTTGATTATCTTCGCCGAATGGAGCTGCGTGCTGGATGAGGCTCTCGCTGCTGTCCAAGGATCCCTGACCGCGGGCGCCGTGCGATTTCCGGTACGGCCTGGAAGGCGCTGTTCTGGTGTAAGGGTTCGCTGGCTCGGTCGTGAAGTTGAAACTCTCCACGCTAGATTGACTGACGAAAGGCCATTTGAAGTCGTTCACGTATGTGACATTAGACCGCGCTGCGGGGTCTAGGAGTAATGAGTTTCGTGCGTCAAGAGGGGTGAGATTGTCGAGATCGCGGCTGAGTTTTTCTATGGCTGCGTTAACTTCGGTGTAGTGGTCTGGATATTGAGGATTCTTACCAGCTTCCTTACGCCTCTTACGGTGAGGGTTCTCTTTGATGCATATTATAATAGCATTGACAGCGATAAGAATGGCCAGCGCTCCGGTCAAAGCCGATTGCACCGCTATCAAGACGACCCCCGTCACGGTTTGGGTTGTTTGTGTAATGCCAAGCTCCTCTACGAAGACAAGGATGCACACAACTGAGAGCACTCGCACGACTTGGATGAATATGTTGATGATATTTCCGGATCGTCTCTCGTAGGGCCGATGCCAAGCAAGTAGACCAAGCACTGGGGCTGCATTAGCAATTGTTGACCATACAATAAGGTGGGCAACATAAGGTTCGAGAGAAATCCAGTTAAAGCTTTTAAAATCAGAGCAATTCTAGTGATGAACTCAGATTCACCCCATAGTCATAGTTCAATACTAAATGCGCTCCATTTATCTTAAAAGCTTGAAAAGCGGTGTCTCGTTCAGTTTTACTCAACACTGCCGAAGGGTGTTTTGGAGGAAGGGGGTCGCAATGATAGAAAAAAGGTCCCTTGAACATTAAACATAAGGAATGTTCACTTACTTAAACACTCAATAACCAACTGGCAAATTGTTTGAGCCAAGCCATGGCCATCAGCAGCAGCTAATACACAGCCCTTTGCAAACGCATATATGATAACGGGGATGAAAAGCCACCAGAAATCCTTCTTGTAGCTATCGTAGAAGAGACTGTATTTCAGCCACATCTCCTTATCTTCGTAAAGCGCCGATGCGTCACCATCGATCTGCTTCAGTTGACGCGCCGTCTGCCAGATTTTGAAGGCGAAGTATGCAAGGACGCCAGTGAAGAGACCAAGAGTGATACCGGCTAATGTTTTGGCTGCCCATGAATCGCCATGCGTGAATTGGAAAATGCAGTAAAGTACCCAAACACCTATATAGAATCAATTAGCAATCGCGATCTGGACAAACCCGAGTACTCAAACAGTGAGCCCCGAAAGTTATTCCGTTTCATCGGCAGAACCATGACGGCCACCAAATAATTTCGGTGACTGGATCGCAGCCACGTAAAATGCCACCCAGTTAAGTAGAGAGGTACGAACCGTAGAAAACGAGTATCAGATTCACAATTGTCCTCGCCATTGTCCCCCAATAATGGTTCCTGAATCCTGCCAATCTCTGAGGAAAGGAGCCACGCTGTGCCCAGAGCTCCAAGATCAACTTTAAGAGTAAAATGCCGACGATAATGACAGCAACGACGATTGCTAAGATCAGGAGAACGGTCATAAATGTATTGGCCTGAGGAACGGATAGTTCTTCAAAGTATGCTTTCATACCCGAGAAGGTAGATTGGCCTCCGGGGTTTGTTGGTTCAGGGGCCGTTGAGGATGAGTTGACGTTTGTGGAGATGTCTCGGCCCACCAGTCCACCTAGTGCCCGGATCGAGATTGGCGATCTACTCTCCCCATATTGAAGAGTGGCATTCCGTAGGAATTGGACACTGTCGCCTGTCAGGTTGCCACCAGTCGCCGCCCTAAAATTATCAATCGAGGTCTGCATAGAGGTCCAGGGAATAATGCCCGTGCTGAATGCGAAATTCTTCGCGAAGCTTCTGTAGATAGGTGGATAGTTCACAGAGAGCATTCCATTCATGGCCATTCCTTGAAACCAACCAAAGGTTGTAGTGAATGACGGGCCAAAACCTCCCGAGGCCCCTGCTCCACCTCCAGCAGCAGCACTACCAAGAGTAGAGAACCCGGTCACTAAAAGAGCTGTGCCGGCGACCCCAGCAGCAACGTAAGACACAGCAGGTACGTTGACGGTCTTCCCGTTGCTTACTTTTGAGGTAATGCAAGCCACTTCCTCGCCGCTATCAAGAGCTTTCAGTTCTAATGTTGCCTGCGCCGCTATGTCGGGAATGGAAAATGCTATCGAAGGAATCATAGAGCTATATTTTGCTGGAATAGCCTGCGAGCCAGTGGCCAAGAACGATCCCGAGGGTACTACAGGCAGAGAATCAGTAAAATTGCATGGTGGGTATTTTGAAATAAAAAAAATCCACCGGTGTGAGTATCGATAGAGCGCATTTTTCGGTAGAGAATCGAACGTACCAGGGCAAAGTTTGGCAACAAATGTGTCTGCATCGCAAGGGTTGAACTCGTTATGATATACTGTCGTGCCATATGCAGTAACATTCAGCTGAGCGGTTACATTCATAGTTTGGCTGCTAGTCCCAGCCAAGTTGAACGTCACCGTCTAGAGAGAATCGTTAGCCTCCGTTGTGTATCTAAAGAGAACTGCAATGGTTGACAGTATGATTGAATCTCAGCTGATATTATAGGCTATTACCACAATGGTGGAAAAGCTGGCGATGATCGAACTGTATATCAGATAATTGACAGGTTCAACCATTGCAGCTTTATCGAGAGATGCCACTAAGTCAAAAGGACCCCTCATATCGGATTTCGCTCAAAACGAATAGTTGATTTTGTGCTCACCTTGTCACTATTGTCATATTCAACATCCACATTTTGAACCGTAATATCGGGATTCGGTAAACATGTGCTGAATCCAGTCGTTTTGAGGATCTGGCTTGCGAGAACTCCGGCCGGCAGGGTATTCAGTAACAGGATAAGAGATGGTAGTATGTTAAAGGATTGTAACATCATGTTGATGCGGATGTGAATTGACGCGGGATCCACACCCTAAGCCACCAGTAAGAACGGAGAGATTCTTCCACCGATGTAGATATATGTGTATATATGTGACGCGAACGCTGCGGATATGCTTGGCTGGATACAAATTCGTGCCGCGGAAGTTGATGCTAATAACTCGAAATCGAGGTTGATAATGTGCTGGATTTGAACGTCCGAAAGTCTGTATTGGTAAGATGGGCCTAGGTTCAACCTGGCAAGAATCGAAAGAACTGAGAATCAGGGATGGTTGGGGTGACGGAGGAGATATCGACGTCGACCGGCTCGAAAAAGGGAGGGACAAGGAAGCAGTGGTAACGGGATTTCCTTTCGATGGATTGAATGATTGTCGTGTAAAGAAAACAAACAGAGACAGAGACAGGAAAACACGCAGAACTTTTGGGTGAAGATATCACGGAGAGGAGAAGAGAAATGAGGATAATAATAGGTATGGAGAGAGAGAGGAAGATGGCCTCAGGCCGCACACATACATACGTCAAGACTCAAGAGGTCCAGAATCCCAGGAACCCGAGTTTAGGTCAGGGGTAAAGCTGGAGCGACCCACAACGAAACAGCCAGTTCGACGCCAGCAAAGCGGGATACGGCTTAGTCCCCGTTGCCGTCGACGGGGCCAGGAATGGACGGGAGATATGATTGGTGCCAATTGGATTCATGGACGACGGAGGTGGGATAGTGGGCAGATTGAAGCCTTTGGAGGTTGGGTGCCAGGTCCAAGCTCCAGCAGACCAGCTTGCGGGCGACGAGACATCGAGAAGAGCCGTCAACGCAGTGAACCCGCTACTGGGGATCGAGCCCCAGATACCGCGACTGAATGGAATACGCGCACAGGAACCTGAAACGCTCCTTTGTCGAGTTGCGCCGGTCCATGATGTGCACGACTCAGCAATCGCGATGACCCGACGAGATAGGTACGCTCAACTTCAGCGGCGAAGGGCGGCAATATCTTAGCTACGCGGCACGACTGATAATCCGTGCCCCGGTACGAATTACGAGGGAGATGATAACTGAAGATCCCGATCTTAACTGGGTGATCGCAATCGCTATACAACCTACAGAGTACAGAGTGTACGATCAATCGAAGATGCTCCTTCTTACCTGCACAGCAACTTTATCACCTCTCGAGTGAGCCAGAGGTGCCGCATCGTCAGACGCGAGATATCAGATATACTGGCCGTCAAAACTTTATTATTCGAATATTCCGAGAGATAGCCGAAACCAGGCTGAATTTTTGCCAAATCGCCCGCCGGTTAGTAGGCTAGTTTCATCCCCCCTATGTGGTACATGGGACATGGCCGTCCTCGAGTCATCCAGATATGCCTACGGAGGTATGTACCTGCTTCGCCGTGTAACCAGTCTGTATGGAGAGGATAAAGTCTCAGTCTCGTGACTGTAAGACAGTGGGCTGGGAGTCTCGTCCTCTGGAACCAGACAGACCTCGACTCCGGCATAGAGACGAGAAACTCGTGGAGTCGTGGGTGCCGCGTGCAACTAGTTGCAAAGGTCATTGCGGAGGTACCTCCTCCAAATCAGCCTCAATTTGCTCAGCTCATCCATGTCGTATGACGGCAACAGAAACCCCTGCTCCAGATATGATATGCATGTGCCATCGTGCAACACAGACGGCCACGGTTGTAAGGCTCCCGCCTCCTCATCCTCGCTGCAACGTGGAAGAATTTGCTTTTTCTCTTTCTCAAACTCTTCTTACATTTTACCCTCTCTTGGATCCCGACCACTTGGTTTTCTCCAAATTGTTCATCGCCTCCTATCGCGCTTGTTATCATGCGCCTTTGTGGCTGGTAAATCAAATCGTTTGTCAGGAGAGGGAGATCAACATAAAATGATGATACCCATGGCCCATGGGCCATGAGATTTTGATTATTCTGTATAGCCCGCAATGCCTAGTCGGCTCCTTCAGACCACTCTTTCTCCTCGGAAAATCCGAATGAGAGGATCAGATGGTTATTGGAGCAGATTGAAAATCAACAGCTTTTACTGCAAGAATCATTGCTCTGAGCACTACCACTCGCGAGTGATTCAGAGTGTGTTAGAGAACGTAGTTTTGACATATAGGTTCTTCCAAGTCGCTGCGACATTTGAGATATCGGGTTTTGGAGCTTCTCGTTTGGTGTTTTCCTTCTCCTTGTGGAGCACTGCCTTCCGGTGAGCTGGCAAACGGGGAACCACAATATTCCATGCAAGAGAAGCCACGTCCACTACCGGATGGTGACTCACGTCCCACAAGTCGAGGCTAGGTACTCGCAAAGCGGACTTATTGGCCATCTTTGTTAATTCTGGTATCAATCGCAAGAATTTATAAAAACGCAAGATATCAAGTGGTTCATGGTTATGATAAGAGGAATCTCACCTTGATTCCCTAATCTGTTCAATGGTAATTGAGAGGGTCCAGGGAAAGAAAAGGAAGAGTGCATTTGTGCATTTACTGGCCGCTTTCACAATTCTTTTTAGTTTTTCAAACGTTGAACAGATATTCCTGTTCGGGGTAAAAGAAGGTTTTTTTTGGGGGGGGGGGGGGGTTTGAGAGGGATGCGGTCATTGTTCAACCTCACTCACCATATACAAGAACACACAAGACACATCAGCACATCACTCATCACTCCCCATACCACCGCTACTATTAGGAGGATTGGCCAGCGATGGGCAAATCAACTTGGTGATTGCAGGTGAATGTGACGGAGCGGGACAGCACGTGACTAACCTTAAAGACCTGAGGCTTGCCGCACCGCCTCCCGTATATCATATCATATCACCGTGGTGATAGCGCACATGCAATGCGACTCGTAGCTTTTGACAATAAATACGCAGAAAGACGGAATGCTGAAGTTTGGCAAATCGCAGGGCGAAGACTCTTTTCCTCCTCCATCTTGACTTTGCCACTGCCAACTCAACAGTGAGTTGTACATCTTGATTGGGTAGACCCCGAGAACCCTGTCTTAGCTGGCTAAATTCCTCACCGTACTTACCTTTACCTAGTTGGATCCCGTAGCTCCCAGCCTCACCCATTGTTTATTCTGGCTCGCAACCACGGCACGATCCGTCCCCCAGAAACCAATGCAAACCGGACCGCAATAGCCATCAACGATGCCAGATAGGCGTCGTAGGAGCCCTGAGGGCTCCAGCAGGAGGAGAAAGGAACGCACACACTCAGATTACGATGAACCCGACCGAATGCGCTATGCCGCCGAATCCCTACCCTCCTCCTACTCTTCATCCTCCTCCTACATCGACATATCGCACATGTACCCACAGAAGAGTTTAGGTATTCGCACATTCTTCACTACGCCATCCGAGCGGCGGCGACTGCGAAGGCGAAGAAGCAACCGGTTGTTTAATATCAATAATTCTTCATCATCGTCGATAAACAGCGATCTTGCATATGGCACCGGATTCATCAAGCGCCCAAAGCGACGCGGAGTGAGGTCTAGGAAGGGCAGGGAAAGGCATAGGGAAAGGGACAGGGACAGCGCCAGGGAGAGAGAAAGTGAACGTTCTGGATCGAGACGCCGTCCTACAACAGACGCCGAAATTCTAGCTGTTGGTGCAGGCCTGGCAAAGCTGGCTCGGGAGCAAAACAAATTAGATTTGAGGGCGACTAGGAATGGTAAACGACCAGAAGTTATTGCCGTGAAGGAATCCTCTTCTCGCCGTGGCTTAGGACCCTCGAAGGTATCGCATGGCTCAGACACCCTTGATGAGGACGGATGGGAGTCTGCATCTGATGATGAATCTGAATCCAGTGTTGATTCGAAGTTGGCATTCGGAGAGGATACATCAGGTGGTTGGTTCGGCTGGGGCAAGAAGAAATATGGCCCTCAAACCAGGAAGAGCAGCATTGTCGATCCCAGGTTTTTTGGACCCGAAAACTCCTTGCGCGGGCATGTTACTGAGCCCGTTGGCTTTCGCCAAGTGTCATGGAGTTCCTCAAGTGATTTTGGTCAACAAGATCAGTTTCCAGCGGGGTCAGGAGAAAGCGTTGCAAGTGGTTCACAATACTCATTGCAACATGTCTACCCTGTCCCGACAAGTGATCCATCAAGATTTGAAGCTGCAAGAAGCTCTGTTGTCTCCGGATCTGAGCCATACATTTCCTCTAGACCAGGGGAGATTCCTTTGCAACAACCGCAGCCTATCACGCCTGTCTCCCAGAGCGTCTATGAACCAACATACCCAATTCGATCAGAACCGGATGCTTTCATGAAGGCTTCGCCATCTTCCGGTCGAAGCAAATCGCTAGCGGAGGCTGCACTTATAGGCGTTGCAGGTGCTGCTGCCGGGGCGGTGATTGCTTCTAATCGAAGAGATGGGCGGAATGACAGGCATGACGATGGTGACCGAGATGATCGTCATGTCAAGCGACGCGACAGTGGAAGGAAGGACTCCAAGGATGACAGACGTCGAGAGAAGCGTGACAGTCCAGACCGAGAGGAACGCAAGGAAAGGCGCCGAGAAAAACATAGACATAAGCACTCTCCAGGTGACCCTCATCGGGATAGGAAACATGAGAAACGCTACGATGAACCCCGTGATGACCGAGAAGAACGGCGCCGGAAACGACGTGAAGAAAGACGTAACGAACGCCCAGACGATCGGTATGATGACCAACGTGCCAAAAGCGAAGTATCCACTTATACAGCTTCTGTGGATCCTTTCCAGTACCAGGTTGAAGACGACGCCTTCTCAACTCCAACTCGTGCATCACCAAAACATCAAAGGATTGATTCCATCCCGGCTATTGTTACAGTGGAACGCGAGCCAGATTTTGCTCGTAAGAGGAGCTCGTCGATCAAGGAGCAAGAAGCCAGCTCCAGACCCGAGCTTCGAAGAGATTACTCACAGCGAGAAGACTGGGAACAAGGTTACCGAGGAAGAGACCCCCAAGCTAGGACCTTGCATGATGCTGAAGCAATTTATCAAGAAACCGAACACTCTACTGCCCCCATCGAAGCTGCAGCCATCACCGCTGCCGTCGCAGCTATTACGGCTGAAGGCTACCGCGAATCAAGATCCGAGAGACGGCGAGATGAACGACGGAGCGAACGCGCAGGCGACTACGATGGTAGAGACTATGAACGCCAAGAGAAAGCTTCTAGCAGGGAATCAAAATCGAACCGTGAACCAAAACGTGAAAGGGACCCAATACAAGAGGAAGCTGATCGAGCCTACCGAGAAATCATCATGGCACGGAAAATCGCATCTCAAGTCATCCGCTCCCGGTCCCCTTCTCCCGATCGCTCTGTCATTGACAAGTACAAAGACGACCAAGAAAAGCCAATTGTCAGAATCGTCACTCCGCCTGGCATGGAACACCACAAGCAGCCAGGCCCTTACGATGCTCCCAATGCCGATTTTCAATTGGATCACATCTTGGAAGACCCAAGAGATCTGCAGAACTTCAGCG